TGCAAATCCTCAATACCTCAGTTTTCGCTGTGTTTATTTTCTCATGTCATACTTTTTGCAGGCGTTACGTAAGGAGTCAATATGGTGTTGTAAATTCTGTTCTTGGTGGTGTTTTAGGCACTTCTTCTTCTTCTTCTGCGTTCGATATCAGTCATGCTACACATTGAGTCCCGTCTGAGTCAAAAATAGGATTGTGCATTTAAGGTCGCCACCGGTCCCCCATAGCTTCTCTCGCAATGTCGATCCCCCTGGGCCAGATCCAGTCTTTGCTGGGAGAGGTAAGGGCAGTACTGCAGTATGTGCTCAGGGGTCTGTCTTTCTGCTCCACAATCACAGGCAGCAGATTCTTTTATGCCTATCCTGTACAGGTGTGCTCGAAGACCACAGTGTCCAGTCCGAAGTCTAAAAATTGATGTTTGTTCTTTCCTGTTGAGTTTATTTATGCTGTCACTCTCTGGTCTGTAATCTCTATTCTGCTTTCTCCACTCCCGCTTGAAAGACTGCTTTAGTGCTGTTTTGGTTTCCTTGTAGCTGTGTGGTGGATGAAGTTGTGGAAGATTACTCCCAGCTTTTGCTAACTCATCTGCTCTCTCATTTCCTTGAATATCACAGTGGGCTGGTATCCACTGCAAGACCAGTTCTGCTTCCTTGGAGAGTAAGCCAATGTTGGTCCTTAGATCTGCAATTATTTTGTCTTGTTTTTTGCTTGATAGTGCTTGGAGAACAGACAATGTGTCACTAAGTATTACAATTTTGTGCCCTCTGTGTTCTTGAGTGATGAGATGTTGGACTGCAGAAAGGAGGGCAGTTGCCTCAGCTCTGAAGTTAGTGCAGATATCACCTGCTGGTAGAGAGAGAGTTTCTGCTCTACTGCTAGGGGGTGTAATGTATATTCCACAACCTCCCTTTCTGACTGCATCTATAGCAGAGCCGTCGGTGAAAACCTTTGCATCTATAGCAGAGCCGTCGGTGAAAACCTGAGTCCAAGTGGTGTTTGGATACTTATCATCAAGCATAGCAAGAGCCATGGTTCTCTGTTGTGTCTCTGTCTGGGCATCTTTTGAAGTGATCCCTGGTACCTTTAGAACTACATTTGCCTTCTCTGGCTTGCTTGTCCATGGTTCTGGCTGATCATCTGCAAAAAGGAGTTCTTTGATTTCTGCAGTGTCTGTAGTTGTCTCCTTTGTTATTCTATCCACGTAAGTCATGAATAGCAAGGGTGAGAGGACACATGCCTGTCTGACACCTGATGACATGGGAAACCAGTCTGTCATGTTTGGCGCATTACTAATTTCTACGAGTGTTTGTTGAGTCACTGCGTAAGCGACAAATTATCGCTTGGTCTGTTCTGTTCAGATGATTGAGGAAATCTTAATGAGGGTTTTGACTTATGAAAAAAAAGCGAGTCCTCCGCAAAAGGATTAATGAATAGCTCCTGGAGGCAGTGTGAAAAAGATAGTGGCTTATAGATTTGTGGATTGGTGCTTCCTTGGGTAAAGCGTCAGCGCTTTCGTTGCTTTTAATGTCACAATGGGCATAGTTAGTTTTGTTGTGAAAAGTATGACTTTCCTTATCTTCCGGGTCTGACACGTTTGTCTTCTTTCCTGGTTTATTGTACCTTCCAGAAACCTTTCTTTCTTTCTTTCTTTCTTTCTTTCTTTCTTTCTTTCTTTCTTTCTTTCTTTCTTTCTTTCTTTCTTTCTTTCTTTCTTTCTTTCTTTCTTTCTTTCTTTCTTTCTTTCTTTCTTTCTTTCTTTCTTTCTTTCTTTCTTTCTTTCTTTCTTTCTTTCTTTCTTTCTTTCTTTCTGTCTTTTCTTTCTTTCTTTCTTTCTTTCTTTCTTTCTTTCTTTCTTTCTTTCTTTCTTTCTTTCTTTCTTTCTTTCTTTCTTTCTTTCTTTCTTTCTGTCTTTCTGTCGTTCTTTCTTTCTTTCTTAAAAAAATAATGTGGGAAGTGTCTGGCTGTGGATGAGAGACACATGTAACCCCTGTCGAATTTCTGAATGTGTCAGTTTCTTATCTGCCCTCTTCTATTCGATTGTATACCGTTTTTGTCTGTGTCTCCATCTGCGCCATATGTGCCATATCATTAGAATTGATAATCAATTAATCACTTGCTGTCACCAGCCGTAGAGGTTTCCTGTAATCGATCTGCGAAATTTGTTATCCCTAGCCGTGATGGGAGACCTGACTTGTTCGTCCGTGTGCTAATGTTGACTTCTCGTTTGCCTCGTTGGTTGACTCTTGTCTGTCTGTTGCCTGCCTTTATACCTTAGCGTGTCTGCCGACATGCTCCTTGCTTACCTGTCTCTTGCTAAACTGCTTACCTCTTGCTTGCTTATTTACCTTCTGCTTACTTACCCACTTGGTTATCTATCTCTTGCTTAACGCATACCTCTTGCTGACCTGCTAACCTCTTGCTGTCCTGTCTCCCTCTTGCCTACCTGTCTACCTCCTGTTTTTTTATCTACCTCTTGTTGGTCTACCTTTTGATTTTCTACCTGTTATTTGCTGACCTCTTGTTGATCCACTCACATCCTCTTTAATTGACTACCTTTTGTTGACCTGTATACTTTTGTTGACCTGCCGATCTCTTGCTTCCATGCCTACCTCTTGTTTGCCTAACTACCTAATCTCGACCCCCCCCCCCTCGACCCCCCCCCCCCCCCCCCCCCCCCCCCTCATCCAGTTTCAGTTCTGTCGGAGTTTTATGCAAGCCTTATAAAATGGCTAACATATTTGACATCTCTTTTCTGTTCTTCCGATAACTCTTTTTTCCTTTTTGGCTGGGCTTCTCTTCTGACAGCTACATTATCATTCCAACCCTTTCAGCGATCTCTCTCGTTTTGCTTTTGTTTCTCCAGACATGCGGTCTATTCTTCGGGATAATACATTGCACATTGTTTGCGAAAGTTTAACAATAGCTGTTCTGTTTACCCTTGCTTTGTTAAGCTAGAAAGCTATTTTATTTTTTTATATCTAAGAGTGCTTGGCAGGGAAGATAGTTAGCAGATGAGAATTTATTGTTGGAGAAATAAGATTTAGCCTTAACACGTAGGCTGCCACCGGAGTAAGAACTGTGAAATTGTGCATATACTTAGTCAATAGAATAACTACAAAAATATGCCAGTCTATATGGGAAGTCTTCTTCTTCTTCTTCATGTTCACTGGCTGTAAAATCAGGCGGAAAGTTCTGGTTGTTTGTCCATCTCTGGACTTCAGTTTTGTTCCAGAACCTGAGTGTTGCGCGCATATTCGTTATACAGACCTGTTTTATTTGTATACAGACTCTTGGTTCCTCGCCTCTCAGCAGATGCACACCTTCGAAGGAAACACCCTCACTTAGACGACTCTTACGACAGGCCTGTCAGGACGCAGTTGATCTGTTCTTTCTACCCTACAATAGGGCCCCGGAACTCACACAGGGACCCAGAGTAGTGTATATACGTTTGGTTTGACTTTTCGGTACAGACAGATTTGCAAAAATGTTAGGAACGAATGGGATGACTCCCAAAAAGCCTTCTGAAAATCCCTGGCTTCAGGGTCTCAATGACATAGTTAGTCACAGCGCCAACAACAACTGAAACCTCAAACACCGTGCCAAGTTTTACCTGGAGCCGGTTCGTAACGTGCACCGCCGTTGCAGGACAGGACAGACAAACGGCGGAGAGCTCCGTCCCCGACGTGTCTGCTCATTTTACATAGCACATGCCGCACACATTGCTGACTCGGGGAGCTGAAAGTATGCGGCGCTGTCTATACCAGTCTCCTGGATGGAGTAGCTGTCGTCTCCACTGTGACCAACGCTTTGGTTTAGGATCTATCCTGTGACACACATTACCAGTGTCTGTGACCACATTTTGAGAGGGGGGGGAGGTGAGAGAGAATAGAGAAAAGCATACCTCCCAGAGGGAACTAATAAGGAGTTTGTTGAAAACGAGAGAATTGGACCCCCCCCCCCCCCCCCCAAAGGCTCAGATATCGAAGTCTATCTTTAAACCACAACACAAAGTGCCCTACGCCTTTTTAAGGTGAACAAAAGAAGATGAACTGGTTTATATATAAATGTATGTATGTGTATGTGTGTGTGTATATATATATATATATATATATATATATATATATATATATATATATATATATATATATATATATATATATATATATATATATATATAAACAAACACACCACGTGCCGGGCCAACTTGCATTGGCAATCATATCTGTTAACTTCAAATAACATTAATATATTAAAAATTTTCAAGACAGACATAGCAGACCCTTTCTCTCTTGCTTATCTTTCTGTCTAGCTGTCTGTCCATCTGTCCATCTGCCAGCTCAGGGGCACTGACATAAAGAAGAAAATCAGGGAGGGCCAGATAGACACTGAAGACATGAAACACTTGTACCCAACACTACACAGTGGAATAGCAGACCATTTGTTACCATAATTATAACAGACATTGACTTGGACGAAACTTACTCTTCCTAGTCAGAGGTTGAACATGGTTAATTCAAACCATGCCAACAAAAATGGCTGCCCTAACCTTCATCTGTGTGCCAGGTCAGGCTGGTGTTCAAAGGAACCAGCGTGCATATTATCTTGAAAAACACTGTGGTTGCTATGGCTGGTCCGGTACTAGACAGAAACAGTGTTATCAGTGCCATGCGCAGCACTTACTGTGACTGATAATGAGCTTGTATCCCTGTCTAGGCTGATGTACATGGTGGTCCAGCCTGGAGCTGCAAGAAATGAACATTTCACCAAGGTTTCACCAAGAGGACAATACGTTTCATTAATCAACACAGAACAGGCATTGTTAGTTGTTTTATACTTTTGGAGCTTTTGAGGAGGAAATTAGAGCTCTTATGGATCTGTCCGAAGTGCTGTGTTGATAATCTTTACTAATCACTAATTACTAAGCCACTGAAAAAATACTGTAAATGATACACAAGTAACTAACATACATTATCATTCTTGGTTGTTTTTTCTTCCTCAACAGCTGATCAGACCTGAGGAAATGACTAACCCCAAGGTGGATGACCTCAGTATGATGACTTACCTGTCCCAGTTCCCCAATGCCAAACTCAAACCAGGAGCACCAGTCAGACCTCGCCTCAACCCTTCCCGTGTCAGGGCATTTGGACCTGGTCTGGAACCAACTGGCAACCAGGTTGGGGCCCCAGCCCGGTTCACTGTGGAGACCTTCAGTGCAGGAAAGGGTGAGCTGGAGATCCTTGTGATCAACCCCAAGGGACAGAATTTACCAGTAAGTCTATTGTTGTTACTACATTTTGGGCATGTTCTTTTGTACAACCTCTTTTGGTTTTTCATGATTTGTTTTTTAGATACATAATCTGAGATGCAGAGGTTTTTTACTTTGGATATTTTCTCTAGGTCATGTCGGGAAATGAGCAGGCAGATAGACTGGCCGGTGCTGCAACACTTGGTGGTGAATTGATGTTTGACACGCTAGATGTTGTGAGGGTCCTTTGAAAGCGAGTGAACAGTGCTTAGGCACAAATGGATCGTTACATTCTGATGAAAATACACCGCGAAGCATTACCAGGGGATCTGGCCGAAGCTGAACACTTAAGGGAAAAGGCAAGACGGATATACAGTCAAACAGTTACTGGTACCATCAGAATTGGAACTGTTTGCTTGCTGCTGTAGAAATGAACGGAGCGCTTATGGGAGTGTCCCGAATGGTGCGAAGTCGATTTTTAATTTGACATTCAAGATGCATAGTGCTGAACCACACATTATGGTAGTGCACTAGGCCTCAAGCTGGTCAAGGCCTATCTGCACCCCTCTGTGGTCATCCTAGAAACAGGTTCCCTACCAGGAGCCTGGCCAATGCTAAGTTTCCATCAAATATGGAGTGTGTCTGCCAAAGAGGCAAGAAACCAACCGTCTGCATTACAGATAAGCCAGATCTGTAAAACAGCTGACAAATGGGAAGAAAAGATGTATAATCCCAGTTACGTTATACAATTAAATGAAAAGGATGGCTTACTGTGTTGCGAAGTGAACAATCAAACAGAAGGGTTCTGTACCATGTGGGTGGTGAGTTGGTGCATGACAAGGCAGATGTGGCCAAGGCCCTTTGAATGCATGTGAACAACATGGAGTAGCAGACTGGGCACCACATCCTAGAAAAAATGATGCCAGTGGACGTGACCAGAGGATCTGGTAGACACTCATCACTCACAGGAAAAGCACAATGAATACATAATCAGACTACAACTGGCGCCATTAGTTGAGTTAACTGTGAGAGGATTGGTTAACTTTGAGAGGATCAGGTAACTTTGAGAGGATCAGTCAACTTTGAGAGGATCAGTCAACTTTGAGAGGATCAGTCAACTTTGAGAGGATCAGTGAACTTTGAGAGGCTCAGTCAACTTTGAGAGGCTAAGTCAACTTTGAGATTATCAGTTAACTTTGAGAGGATCAGTGAACTTTGAGAGGATCAGTGAACTTTGAGAGGATCAGTTAACTTTGAGAGGATCAGTTAACTTTGAGAGGATCAGTTAACTTTGAGAGGCTCAGTTAACTTTGAGATTATCAGTTAACTTTGAGAGGCTCAGTTAACTTTGAGAGGCTCAGTCAACTTTAAGAGGATCAGTCAACTTTGAGAGGCTCAGTCAACTTTGAGATTATCAGTTAACTTTGAGAGGATCAGTCAACTTTGAGAGGATCAGTCAACTTTGAGAGGATCAGTCAACTTTGAGAGGATCAGTTAACTGTGAGAGGATCAGTTAACTTTGAGAGATGGGTTAACTTTGAGAGATTATCAGTTAACTTTGAGAGGATCAGTCAACTTTGAGAGGATCAGTCAACTTTGAGAGGATCAATTAACTTTGAGAGGATCAGTTAACTTTGAGAGGATCAGTTAATGTTGAGAGTATCAGTTAACTTTGAGAAGATCAGTTAACTTTGAGAGGATCAGTTAACTTTGAGAGGATCAACTTTGTTGTACCAGGTATTGTCCATCCCACATAGCTCAGTCTGTCTCCACAGAACAGTTAACCTCCTCCTGAGAGCATCACACAAAGCATGAACTCTGTTTTATAGCTCCAGCATCAATCCTCACAGATCTTCGTAAATCTGCACTCATGAACTGAATGATGCCTCCATGAAACAAACCTGCGACCCTCACAGCACAAGACAAATGGCTTGACCACTTCATCACCAAGACCCCTGGCACCATAAGTATTGTTTGTTGATGAAGGGGATGAAGCATTTAATGGGAATGCCTTCCTTAACTCTTTGAGTCCTAAGGAACGCATCATACGTTCATAGTTTCCTACCTAGAGGCCTAATGAATGCATGGTGGGCCAAATTAACGTCTCTCTTGACCACCCCTTTAGCCTCTGATGATAAACTTCCTGGGACTCAAAAATGTAAGTATTAGAATGTTGATGCTTAACTCTTACACCAGGGCTGTTTAAACAGGTTTATTCAGGGGTCAGATTTTTTTAAAATAAGGATCGTCACCGGCCTGAGCCCTAGAGTAGAAACCTTATAAGTAAAGTAAAGGACCCTTTTCCACGCCTTTAGGCGTATAGGGCATAAAGGGCTAGACCTATATTTTATAGACCAATCAGCACAAGATGGGTGATGCGGTCAGCATCATGCTAGCCGCCTTTACTTCCCAGGACTGCACCCAGTACCCACTCAAGGCTGGGTCAACCTGGGAGCCAAGGTCATTTTTGAAAAAAGTTTGGCTTTGCCAAGGAGCGAACCCACCACCTTGTGATCCGCAGGCGAGCGCCTAGCCGCTCCGCCATGGAGACTCTATAGAAACCTCATAAATACAATAAACTGGCAATGATCCATGGGGCATTTGCTAGGCCTCTAAGACCAGATTGACCAGCGGGGCACACATTGAATAGCCCCGTATTAGACTGTTTTGTGGTTTTTGCCTGTGTTATTAAACATGTTGCCGATTATTTTTTTCTCACAGTGTGAAATGACATTCAACAATGACCGTAATTTGACCTACTCATGCCATTATGTTCCCACCATGGAGGGAGCCTACAGGGTATGTAGTTATTAAAACTTGTGTTTCTTGTTTTCTATTTTCTTATTTTTATCTTGTCATCTCCTCCTCCTTCTGCAGCTTCTTCTTCTTCTTCTTCTTCTTCTTCTTCTTCTTCTTCTTCTTCTTCTTCTTCTTCTTCTTCTTCTTCTTCTTCTTCTTCTTCTTCTTCTTCTTCTTCTTCTTCTTTCTTCATCTTCTTCTTCTTCTTCTTCTTCTTCTTCTTCTTCTTCTTCTTCTTCTTCTTTCTTCTTCTTTCTTCTTCTTCAGCATCTCTGTGATTGACCTTCTTTTTCCAGTTGGTGGCTCTTGGTGTTTATAGTCAGCCTGTATGTTAACTCTTCAGTTCTAGGATCATTGTCCGTTCAAATCCATGTGAATTAAAGGCTTAGCAACCTGTTGTGGTGACGAAATAAGACTTTTACAAATTTTGGAGGTGTTGGCTTCGCGTTTTAACCCCAAACCTAGAGGACCGTGTCTTGTAATATGTGATCATAAAATCACTTATGTTGTCCTATTCTGTCTGGCTTGTTGGTTAGTGTAATTTATTTCACTTGTGGATCTTGCATCCACTTTCAGCAGGGATTGGAATAAGTGAATCCAGTATTTTCAGACTTGAAGGTCAGTGTGTCTGATTTCATCAGACCTTTTTTGGGTGTGTCTGATTTAATCAGACCTGTTTTCAGTGTATCTGATTTAATCAGACCTGTTTTCACTGTATTGATTTAATCAGACCTGTTTTCACTGTATCTGATATAATGTTATTTGTTTCTCAGTGTATCTGACTTCATCTTCTCTATTTTTCAATGCATCTTATTTCACTCTATGGTTCACTGTCTTCTGATAGTGTTGACATGTGTCTGAACGATTTGATCTGTTAATTCTTAATGTAGGAAAATTAAACTTTTATATAAAAAAAAGTTTGGTAGCATTAAGTTTGAATTTCACATGTTTGTTGATATTTGATTGACCAGGTTGTCATCAAGTTCGGCAACAAGGAGATCCCAAAATCTCCATTCAGTATCAAGGTCGAAGGTGCAGCTGGAGACCCAACCAAGGTCACTGCTGCTGGGCCAGGTTTGGAGAAGACAGGTGTCATTGCCGGCAAGAAGACCTACTTTGAAGTCTACACGCAGAGTAAGTTGATTTCTTCCATGTTTGAAGCCACGATAACTAGTGGATTTTCTGAGGCGTCCATATTCTTCTTCTTCTTATTCTTTTTCTTAACAATTACCCTCTGTAAACTCTGAAACAAATTTATAATTGTTCATCCACTTCTAGACTTTAGTCTTGTTCCAGAAATTAAGTTCTGTGTGCACATCCGTTTGACTGATCTGTTATGCAGACTGTTGGTTCTGTGCCTCTAAGGTAGATACAGTCTGACTTTGAAGAAAAAAAAACCTAATTAGTTGCCTTCTACAACATACCTTTTAGCAGGGGAGGGGGTACTGAGTCTGTTCTTTCCCCCAACAAAATCGGGCCCCTGAAACCCACACAGGGAAATCCAAATTCAATCCCCACTATTTACAAAATTATTTGTTTGTAGTGTTGCTTGAGTGTACCCCAAACAAATATTTACCTGGGCTCATTGGTCGACCCAGCTTTCAAAGTATATTTCTCTCTATCTGTTACACCCTTTCTATCTGTCTGTCTGTCTGTCTGTCTGTCTGTCTGTCTGTCTGTCTGTCTGTCTGTCTGTCTGTCTGTCTGTCTGTCTGTCTGTCTGTCTGTCTGTTTGTTTGTTTGTTTGTTTGTCTGTCTGTCTGTCTGTCTGTCTGTCTGTCTCTCTCTGTATGTCTGTCTCTCTCTGTCTCTCTGTCTTTCTCTCTCTCTCTCTCTCTCTCTCTCTCTCTCTCTGTCTCTCTCTCTCTTTCTCTCTCTCTCTCTCTCTCTCTCTCACACCCCCCCCCCAACCCCCTCACACACACACACATCCTTTTTAGCCACATCCATACTCAATTCCAGATTTACACACACTTACAGGTGTTTTCATTTTTATACCCCCTCCCTTCCCATATTATCTAGAAGCTGGCAAAGGCACTATTGGATCTGGAGTATGAGCCCTTGATTTACTGTTTACACAATATATGTCTCTCTGTCTGTTATTTTCTTTGTGTCTCTTTCTATCTCCCTTCCTGCCTGCCTGCCTGCCAGTTACTTGTATGTCTGTCTGTCTCTCTCTCTCTCTTTCTCTCACACACACACGCACGCATGCACACACACACACATCTTGTTTAGCCAGACTCATACTTAATTTCAAATTCACACACCCTTACAGTTATTTTAATTTCTAATATATTTCCCCCCCCCCCCCCCTATTATCTAGAGGCTGGCAAAGGCACCATTGATGTTGCTATCCTGGACCCTCATGGTCACAGAGACAAGGTCAGACCATCCATCAACCCTGTTGCTGACAAGGAGGGCACTTACCTGGTTGAGTACATCGCTACAGAACCTGGACTTTACTCCGTCAACATCTTCTTCACCGGACGCCAGATCCCAGGAAGTCCTTATGGAGTCAACGTTGCACCTGGTAAGCACTATGAAATTGTGCATGTTTGGTTTTTTTCTTTACTCCTCTTATGTTATATTTTTATATTTGTTCTGTTAATTGATCTTCATTGGAGAGTTAAATTAAGTCCATGTAATCTGCTTGGTAAGATAATTGTTGGTCCTTATGCCAGGAAGAGAAAATACAACCAGAAATGACGGGCAGACCAGGCCCTCAGCCTTAATAGTAGCTGATCTAGGGGGGAAGCTCCAACAGATGGTTAGACAGAGCAGTGCTCTTCTCATCTGGCACAGCTTCTGCAGCATGCTTTGTTCCAAAACTATTGGTGTTACCTTTCTTTTGGAGTTGACAAAGCAGGCCAAGGGAGGGGTCATGCTGACAACATGTGATCTCTACAGTACTGCCCAGGTTTTGTGCCGTGGTAACCTTGGGCTGAGATTACCAAACCTTTCCATAGCACAGTGGAACACTGTTGTCTGGAAATATCTGAAGTGATTGCTGGGGGCACTGCCCTTGTGTTAGGGAGTCTTTGGTGAAGTGGTCAAATTGTTTGCCTCAGTGTCTGACAGGATCGTAGGTCCATATTTTGGCTGTGTCAGTCAGGTCAGTGGATAGTTTTTGTAACAGATCCATGGATTTAATTACTGGACAGTATTTTTCTTAATTGAGCCTAGAACTGAAATCACGGCACTCAGGACATTCCCACATGTGCTATGTCCTTATCTTCAGCACTGAATGAAAAATTCTAGTTGTGATGGTGGTATTAGTAGCAGTTTGATTGTATGTCCCTCTTGCCGTTCTACTGAGTGTAGAGTGTCAGCCAGATCATTCCCTGGTTACTCCTTTGTTATTGGAAGCTCAGAGCTTATACTTAGTACAATCCTCTTGGCAGTTAGCTGAGCCGCTTTACAGAGAGATTCCTACAGGTGGGATGAAGCTTCTCGAACCTTTAGACACCTTGAGCAGCACTGCTTAGCACCTCACTCTGGCACCCTTTCACTAGACAGGGAATTCTCATGTGATCACCCTTTTCTTAACCTCTGGCTAAAGAGTTTCAACATCCTCTAGATAGTTTTACTATCCTAACTCACCTCCCATAGTGGTAGTGCTCAATCTGCAATATGACTAATGAGTAGAATGATGTCTACTATGAAGAGTGAGGGAGCTGCCATAATGTAGCAGCTAGCTCCTTGCCTTGCGGATCCCAAGGTCGTGGGTTGATGTCCTGACGGAGTCTTGACTCTTTTGATAAAATGACATTAGCTCCCAGATTGACCCAGGCACAAATGAGTACTAGGTAAAATCCTGGGAAGTAAAGGTGGCTGGTTTTGTGTTGACCCCATCACTCACAGAGTGCGGATTGGTCTATAAAATATAGGTTTGGCACTGTATGCCCAGTGTGCTTGAAGGCGGGGAAAAGTGTCCTTTGCTTTACCGTGAAGAATGAGGTATAAAAAAAACACACACAGAATGCCAGAGTTATTATGTAATTGTTAAGGTTGTCTCACATTGAGTAAAAGTGGAATTAGAAACTATGTTCTCTGGAACCCACAGATCGCAGAGTTCAAGGGATGTTTATTTCGTGATTGATGTGATTTGGATAGATTTGCAGTATGAAAAAACATTTTCATGATTTAAATAGATACATTTGTGGTATGAAAAAACATTCTCATGATTTAAATAGATACATTTGTGGTATGAAAAAACATTTTCATGATTTAAATAGATACATTTGTGGTATGAGAAATCATTTTCATGATTTAAATAGATACATTTGTGGTATGAGAAATCATTTTCATGATTTAAATAGATACATTTGTGGTATGAGAAATCATTTTCATGATTTAAATAGACACATTTGTGGTATGAGAAATTAGTTTATAATTTGTGTAGGTAATATTTAAAGTTTTGCAGTATGAGAAATCCATTTAGTGTTTTAAGTAGATAGGTTTGCTGCATGAGAAATGAGTTTAGTGATGTATGCAATGTATAAAGATTTGCCGTATGTGAAATGAGTAATGGATCCTTTTCCAGCACTCATGTGAATTGAGTTGTATAAGTATGTGATATTAATAATATAAGTAGTTTGTACAAAAATAATAGTGATATTATTTAGATGTGTGGCTGCAATGCTGTTTGTAATACGTATACAGATGTAATGTTATTAGCATAGCGTTTTAAAATGTGATTGTTTTGTCTTTGTTCTTCTAATCATCAAAAACCTACACCAGCCCAGAGTAAGTAGAGGCTAGATCAGTGTCACTAACAGAAACTGGTGTTTGACTTGCATAACTGGCATGCTGTTGTTATGTGTGTGGTGATTTTCCACCTATACACAGATAATCATATTTGTGAATGCTTATGTTTATCATACTCTAGATGATGTTGTTATTTTAATGGAGACTTTTCTAGTGAAAAAATATCTAAATATTCTTGAGGATGGCATTAGTTCATGTACCAACTGTTAAGTCCCAGTCCCTTGCTACTACAAAGCAATCAGTCCAAAAATCTTTACTCTAGAATACAAGTCTTTGAGTGTTTATTGATTGAAACAATACACTTGTGTTCCCTGTGTGGGTTCTGGGATCCTATAATGGGGAAAGCAAGAATAGACCCATAGCCTCCACAACAAGCATGTCGTAAGTTTGAGGCTTCCTCCAGAGTCAGAGAGGCAAGGAACCAAGGGTCTGCACACAAATAAGCAAGGTCTGTAAAACAGAAGCACACCCAAAACTCAGGTCCTGGAACAAAGCCAAAGTCCAGAAATGGATGAACAACCAGGACTTTCCACCGCGGTTTACAGCTGGTGAATGCAAACAAACCACAATACGTTTTTGGAACAGATCTACTTGAAGTTACGGCTGGGATGTAATGAGTTAATGTAATAAAAGAACATGACAGAAGAATATAAGAAACACATACCAGGTATAAAGTAATCTTCTTCTTCATTATTCGTTCAAGTGACATAGTATAAAGCAATATTCCTCAACCTTTTTACACCCCCAGCCCACCAGAACAGGGGGAATTGTTTTACGGACAGCCTGACAACTAACTAAAGACAGAAATATAACTTGTATTTGTCGGATTCCATAACCATTGGGCGCCGTAATATAATTGTTTTATAAGATTTAGTGGGGTTTCCAGGATTTATACCAGTTTGATTCTTCTAACTGAGAAAATAATCATACATAGTGCAGTATTAGAAGCAGAAGAAAAAAAAACTAGCCTACCCTTCCCCATTACATGAACAGGCTGACATTTTATGCAATCACTGAACTTTTCCCACCACCCACTGCTTGGCGCAGCCAACAGGTTGAAAAACATTGGTATAGAGTAACCATTGAACATGCAGCAGTGTGTTGTCTAGTCCTAAAGGGGTTATAAGGAAAGAATTAAAGTACAGGAGCCTCTTCTCATTATTAACACATCAAGCATGTGGTGCTAGATTCATATTGTTTTATAAACCATAATCACTTGATGCGAGATGTGCTCAACCTCTTGGATGCTGCCTTTACTTTCCAGGATAGTTCCTTGCTACCTATTTCAGGCTAGGTCATTCTGGTGAGTTATACAAGTTTGCCTCATGCAGATTCTGGTCGAGGACCTTTTAACAGTTGGGCAAGCTTAAAAAGAAAAATAGAACTTAAATAAAGGAAAATGAGGCAAATATGAAATGATATTTATGACAAGTAAAGAATACTTGAACAAACTAAAATGTCCCTGCGTTACCTGGTAAAGAACCAACAGTCTGCATACAAATAAGCCAAAGCTGTAAAACATACAAAAGTCAAGATCTAGAACAAGACCAATGTCCAGAGGTTGACAAATAGCCGGAACATTCTGCTGAAGTTTGCAGCGGGTGAATGCTAAGCAATAGAAGAATATTCTATTCTAACTTGTTGATTAGCCCGGCTCTCATAGTTAGTTAAACTTGACTTTCGCGACGGCCGGGTAACGAACTCCTTGTGGTCCGGGGTCACTCCTGGGGGTAGGCAGAAAAGCCACATTTCTCCCAGATTTACGGTACCTATAATGGAATCAAGGCCGAAGGGTTGCGATATCCATAGTACCGAGGCAAAGGGTTAACAACTCATGGTTTCTGGATACAAAAAAAAAAATTTGTTGATTATAACAAAGTTAAAAAGATAAGACTGCCAGTTATTGTTTAATGTTGTGATAGTGTAAATCGTTCCCTACTTGGTGCATGCTTGTTCAACCTGGTGTATCTAAAAACTTGTTACTTACATTGAGAACTGTTGTTTGTATCCAGAGCTTGTTGTTTGGTTCTTGTTTTTAAATTTATTTCATAATCGTCCAAAGACAATTTGATTATCTTTATTGACCTCATTAGAGTTGGATTTGCATTGATATTAACTTATTTTATATCATGCTGTTATTATTAATGTCCTCCAAAAATGGGAAGGGTGGAGGACTTTGGGGGCAGTGAATTCGTATCACTCGTAAAAAACAGTACACTTGGGAGTTAAAATTGGCAAAGCAAAAAACGAGATGAACACCAGGCACATTAGAGGACTTGCTAATCAACATAGAAATGGTACTATCAGCCACTGGGAGGGCCTGAGCACCTGTGGACATGTCTGGAGTGCAGTGATGATAACCCAACTAACTGACTAATTTTTTTTATGCCACCTTGTGATCTTTTGCTTGTCTGATTTCTCTGGAAATGTTTTTGTCTTGCATAATCTGATACCAACTCAGGTGCTCGTTTCCCGCCTGATAGTGCAGTAAAATATTTTCTTCTTTTACGGCGAAGCATCATGGGAGAATGTACTGTTTGATTGTGCTCTCTGTTCCTAAATCATCTTACTGGCACAGACTAATGCTGTTTGATTATTCATAAATAGTGTGTTGAAATTTCAAACGTATATCTTTAGACTTATTTCAAAACTGAAACTAATAGGAGAAGCAAACAGTATTTTTTTTTAAATTGTTGCTATTTTCAATGCTTCTGCATTTTTCCTTCTTGGCAACCCAAAACCATTCTTATAAAGACGCAGATTATCTTTTCATTTTAATTTTAGTGATTCTTTCCTCTTGTATATATGCCTTCTTCACTGTTTTGTCATTATAGCTGCCTAGATTCTTCATGTAATTTTAACTTTATCCTACTAAATATTCAGTCACTTACTTATCTTATATGATTCTAAGAAATATTGTCTGTTTACCATCTTCTTCTTCAGCATGTATTCTTACGAGCGTAATTCCCCTGTGTCACTTGCAGAGCCCAGTTTTTCTTAAGATTGGTTGGGGGGTTGGGGGGGGGGGGGGGGGGGGGGGGATAAGAAGTAAGAATAAACCTATTGGCCCTTAACAAGCATGTCAAAAAAATGTGACTAATTTAGATTTTGCTCAAATCGAGTGTTGTGGCTGTAAACGATAACACAGCACACCAACTGCACTTTAAAGGGCACACAAATAAGAAGATGAAGAAGCATTATTTGTATTTTAAAATACATTAAAATATTTAAAGGACTCTTTTCACGATTTATTGACACCTTATGTGTGATATGATAAGTCTTTTGCATTTATGTGTATAGATCAAACTTGTGTAATTCCTGAACAAAATCACAGTGTTGTTTTTGTAAACAAAATACTTAAAAGTTGTTTTTTTCCAACCTGTTTTCCCACTAATAGTGTCCTGCCTGTTGTGGTCACATTATACTTTTGTTGATTGTATTTTGTTGGGATCATGTCCAGGTTTTCCCTTAGTGGGTTCCAGGACCCTGTTTGACGAGGGAAAACAAATAAGACTCCTCCTGTTGTAAATGGCACTCATTAGAGTTGGCTGAAATCGTACGTTTTGGACCAAAAAGCAGTGTTATCACAGCCTGGATGTAAACCACAGCACATTGTTCTAACCTCCCTTTTAGCGGACAGATACCAAAAAAATAAAAAGAAGAAATAATCCCAGATGGAAATGCTGTAAATTGTCACATATTGTGGTAACAATAATACATTAAATTATTGTGGTATTGTGCCCAGACTTGAAAATGTTGTATCTGTCCCATATTGTGTAATCATTAAGAGCAGGGCTATCCAGCTAAGTTTACCCAGGGGCCAAACTGTTGCAAGTGAGGATCATCACAGGCCGGAGGGCCGACCCCTAGCATAGAAAAATATCACTAAATACAATATAGTTGACAATGATTCGCGAGCCACTTGCTAGGCTTTTATGGGCCAGACTTGGCCCGTGAGCCGCAGCTTGAATAATCTGGAAATATTGCCAGCTATCTTTTGTTGTGGTCACTATTGTACAGCAAAGTATTTTATTATCCTATCGAGTTGTGATAACATTAATACAGTAAATTGTTGTGTTATAATGTTAAGGCTTGACAATATTGTGTCTGTGTCATATATATTGTAATGTGCTATCATATCCAGCATTGAAATATTGTCAGCCTTTCTTATGATCACTTGATGCAGCACTGTCCACCTTCATTTTTTGTGGGGATAGGTCAGCATAGAAATCCCCCTGTGGGTTCCGGGACCCCAGTGTGGAGAAAACACGAATAGACCCACTGCCTCCCTAACAAGCTTATCGAAGAGTCGACCAACTAAAGTCAGAGTGCATCTGCCTGAGAAGCAAGGAACCAATAGTCTGCATACAAATAAGTCAATCTATACAATGGATGTGCAGGCAACACTTATGTTCTGGAACAACACTGAAGTTCAGTATTGATACTACAACCAGAACTTTCTGACAGAGTTGACAGCTGCTGAGTGTGATGAAAAAGAAATAAAATACTTTGAAAAAACATAAAAAGTAAACATATATTGCAAGCTCAGCACCTATACCAAAGATACATACGTAGACAGTTACTTAACTCATTGAGTCCCAAGCAACGCATGAAAAAACATAAAATAATATATAAAATTAGAAATAACTTACAATCTAAATGATATTGAAAATGTGATCTGTTTTTGCAGAATCATTGGATTGATACTTAAGTTTCTTTGTCTTCTTCACCTCTCCACATTAACTACATGTAGACTCCCAACGAAAAGTCCTGGTTGTTCATCCACTTTGGACTTTTATCTTGTTCCTGGACTAGAGTTTTGTGTGCATGTCTATTTTACAGATGTGTCTTATTTGTGTGCAAACTGTTGGTTCCTTGCCCATGTTGGTTATATGCTCGAAGTTTAGTAAAGAATTAAGTATTTTTTTGGGTAAAGAATACATTCAATGAATTAATAATAGTTCAGCCACATGACTCCTACCTTTGTGTAGGCAGCCATCAGAAGTAGAGTCATGATGACCTTATATTGAACCTATGCCAGGTAATCTGCATCCAAGCACATAACTTACCTGTTTGTCATAAGAGCACTTGCCATGTGGATTCCAGGGCCCAGTTTTAGTTGGTGATAAGAATATACAAACTGTCTCCCTAACAAGCACAAAGTAAAACGCTACTAATTAAGGTTTTGTTGAAATCAGATGTTTTAGATGCTTTCACATTATCGTTCAGTGTTTTACAAACTATTGATAAGGCATGATACCTTTTTTAAAATTTGTATTTCCTACCTGGGATTGCAACCCAAACTACACACAGTGATTCAAGGAGCCACTATTCAGATCCTGATTCAGCAGAAACATATTCCAGATACCCCTTTCAACTGTCTAAGTCAGTTATATTGGGGCATCCTACAGCTACACAAAGTATGGAAAATTGGGGCTAGAAGCCTGTTATCCTGTGTTTAACTCTTGTTAGGCACCATAAGACCCAGAAATCCAACCTCTACATCATTGGTCTGCCGGTTACTTTGTAGTCACAGGGGTCAACTAATATAACTGTTATACAGATGAGTAGGGTGTCAGGGATTTGCTGCTGTTTGATTCTCACAGTTGATGTGTTAATCCTACAGGCAGCAGTCTTGGAGGAGTACCTCTGTGTGTGGTTTCCGGGGCCTCATTGTGGTGAGGAAAAAGAATAGGCCCCTTGCCCCCTTAACAAGCTTCTTGTAGGAGGCAGCTAGTTCGGGGCGTTTCCTTCAGAATCAGAGTGCATCTGCCTGAGAGGCAAGAAACCAACAATCTGCATATAAATAAGCCAGATCTGTAAAAAGGATGTGCATGCAAAACTCACGTTATGGAACAAGACTAAAGTACAGAAGTGGATGAACAACCAGAACTTTCCGCCAGAGTTTACAGCTGGTGAATGCTAGGAGGAAGAAGAAGAATAGGGTTTCTGAAAATTGCTCCTGTTTGATTCTCACCCTTGAGGTGTTAACCCTACAGATAGCTAGCTGTCTTGGAGAAGTACAGTGACAACCACCATAAGGCCCAGGTGGAAAGACTGCAATGACATATAATCACTTTGCATTGTGTCATGAAAATGTGTGACTCATTGCTGCTGTGTTGATAATTTCAGCCTCAAATGCCAAGGCATGCTATGCTACAGGCCGTGGTGTGCAACCTCGTGGAATCAGAGTTAAGGATGTGGCTGTGTTTTATGTACACACCAAGGGAGCTGGTGAAGGAGAGGTTGCTGTTCAGATCTTGGGACCAGGTAAATATTCAGTTGTAGCAAGTTTGGTAGTTCATAATTTGTCATTCATTCATGGTCTTGTTGTGCCATTATGTGTCACATTGTGTTCACAGTCTGTTCTATCCTGTGCGATAACTTCATTATCATGGATGGAATCCAGTCCAGTGCCTTTCAGTACCTTTCACCTGTCTTAGCAACGTTCCTTTTAGGGTTTCTTTTTGGACACCCTTGTTTCCTTGACTCGATGCTTTGATATTGATTTGAACCTTTGATCTTTGGGCAGGCAGATGAGCTTCTATCCATTGCACTACTGCGGTTCCCATATTTTATTATTATCATCATGTAGCAGATCCTTTGCTGAATGTTACCTCTCATCAAAGAAACTGAGTCTCTTCCCAGCTGTCCTTCCTCATATACTTTGAAACTCAAGGTGTTACTTATATCCTATGTTCATCTTAGTGATGGTTGGCCCCCCCACAATCCCTTTTTTTTCTGGCACAATACCTTCTGCTCCTATCTTTCCAATCCTCTATGATACTTGATTTTGCCAAAATATGTCAGTGTCTGAGACAAGATACTGTTGACTAGCCAATCTTCCTTGATGTTCAAATCTTTTAGAATGGTTAATGGTATTCTAAGCATCTATAGCATTTACATTCAAATGCCCATATTTTATAGTTAGCTGATATTTTATGGTAAAAGCTTGATATCCTGGTTTGAGAGCTTAAATTACAAAAATTTGAGTTTTTTTTTTTTTTTTTTTAATTGCTTTACAAAGTTGCCAAGTAATTATACATTTTAAAATAAAAAAAAAAAAAAAAAAAAAAAAAAGAAAAACTTTTTGTTGAATCTTTCAGCTGGAGATGAAGAAAAATGCAAGGTGAAATCTGTGTCTGGACAAGAGGGTGTGTACGAATGTGTCTACACTCCAACAAAAACTGGCAGCTACATCATTAATGTCACATGGGCCGATCAGCATATCAGCAAGTCTCCATTTAAGGTGGGTGATTCACCTCGTCATTTTTTTTTTAAGAACTAGTTTCCAGAAGCGTAACTTTCTCAGTCCCAAACAACGCACTTTGTATACTAGATATTGCTCATGTGTATCATAGAGCACACCTTGAATATTTATGTAACTGATGTTTAGCTAGACAAACTAAATAAATCCAGCAATACCAGTCACCCACTATGTGCTGTGTATTTGGACCCTGTGGAAGCAGTATACCCATGCTTTTGTTCTCACGATTATTGCTTCAGTCAGGCATCAGCTGTGGTCTTCTGGGACTGAAAGAGTTAAGGTTAGTCCCATAACAGATACTGCCTTTGGAGCCTGAGCTATCAGGTCGTTGCATGTTCTGTTCCACAGCGTACAAAAAAGGGTAGCCAAAAAATACACTTTCGTGTTGCCTTTTTTCCCTCCACAAAATTTGTACAGTTAGTTGTCTGCTATCCATTTTTATGAGCCAGGTTTGACCCCGCAACTAGTTGGGAAACATAATCCGGTGAGAATTACCTTTTTGTCCCATTGAACGAAAAAAAATCCTTAGAAAAATTACTATTTTTACGTTGTCATCTGGTTAACTACTAATCTCTAGTAGCCACCCCCCCCCCCCCCCCCCCCCCCCCCACACACATAACCTACAGACCCTCCCCGCTGCATCATTCTCTGCATGTGCAAGTTTTCACTATCTTCCATTTTGCTTGTTACCTTGTCCTACAAGTGAGATATCAGATCTGCCTTGTGCAGTTGCAGTGGTTTGGCTTGGTTTATAAAACGGACCAACATCATGGCACAAGGGTAGTAACCCATAAGTGCTCCGTTCTACTGCTGACTCAGGCCTAAGTCTGAAAAGTTTTAGCACAGTGCACAAACTCCGTAGCACCAGAAGGATCCTGAAATACTTTGGGTAGATTTTAAACTCCAAATTTTGCACGGGCAGCTCCATTAGGCTACTCTTTTCAATTTCCAACTGCCGAGGGATTTTTTTACATGGCAACAATATTCATGGGCTTCCGATCTTACTACCCGGGGGAGGATTATTGGAAGTCCACATGAAAAAATTCCAGCCTTCACCCATGCCTGAACCCGGGACTACCAGCACTCGAGGCAGATGCCATGCCTCAAGACTACTCAGCTGCAGTACAGCCCCCAAGTAGGGTCACTCCAGCCAGCCTATCTGTCTGCTCATTCCCAAACACACCTACATATGACTCTCATCACCTGCGACCTCTGGATTGATTGATTGTTTCTTTATGCTCACTGACAGGTGGAGGTTGGTCCATTCTGGGACACCAAGATCAGAGCCTATGGACCAGGTCTGGAAGGGGGAGTGGTCAACCAGCCAGCTGTATTCACAGTTGAAACTAATGGAGAGGCTGGTGCTCTTGGTGAGTGTCTGAACTGTTAGTGCTGTGTCTGAACTGTTAGTACTGTGTCTGAACTATTAGTGCTGTGTCTGGACTGTTAGTGCACTGTGCCTCAACTGTTAGCACTGTGTCTTAACTGTGTACTGTGTCTGATATGTTAGTACTGTGCCTTAAATGTTAATATGGTGTCTTAACTGTTAGTGCTGTATCTTAAGTGTTCCTGATGTACCTGAACTGTTAATATGATGTGCCTTAACTATAGGATGTTTTGGCTTCTACTTTGAGTCCCACTGTGCCTCTCTGTCTGTCTGCCTACTGCCTGCCTGCCTGTCTGTCTGTCTGTCTGTCTGTCTGTCTGTCTGTCTGTCCCACTTCCACTCTACCTATCACAGAAGTTTACAACATTTACTTTTTTCCAAAATTAGGATTCTCTATTGAGGGTCCAAGCCAGGCCAAGATAGACTGCAATGACAACGGTGACGGCTCTGCTGATGTGACCTACTGGCCAACCCAGACAGGAGAGTATGCTGTGCACATCTTGTGCGATGACAAGGACATCCCTAACTCTCCCTACATGGCCAACGTCATCCCTGCTCAGACATACAATGCTAGCAAGGTTAGTATAACGCTAACAGTCACTATGATTTAAACAAGAAAATTGTGTTCAAAAGGATCACCTTTATCGCACCTGGTTTTTATGTAAAGATAAAGTCGGGAGATGTGAACCAGCATCATTGCACACGGTTGTAAACCATATGTGCTCTGCCACCAGTACGGACTGCTGATAAGAAACTGTCCACCTGTGTCACCATCCGCACACAACTCCGGAGCTACAGTGACGTTCCTCCATTTACTCCCGAGTGATAACTCTAGTGCCCATTACCTAGAGGCTAGGTGAACCCTGGGAACTGCCCGATTTCAAACACCGGCCTTGGGCTGCAGCAAGTCGCAGCTGGATTTGAAAGCACGTCTCCTATCGACTGCACTAAAGTTTAGTCTGTTGGGACAAAAATAGAATTCTTACCTGAACAGTCTATGTATGGCATCTGCACTAACCATGATGCCTTAAAATAGCAGATATTGTGAGTAAATATCTAAAGTTTGTTGACAGTCCCACTTCCTGATGCCATCATCTAGTATATGTGAAAGCTTACCACTTCCCATCTCTACAACAATATCTGTCATGAGATTCTTCTTCTTCATCCTCTTCACTTCCTCTCATCGCTTCAGGTGTCCAGGGAGATATCAGGTTCTGCTTCTTGCTGTTCTTGTCAACTTGATCACAGACACATCATGCTGATGTAGAGTTTCTCTGATGTTATCTTTCCACATGGTTATTGGTCTACCTCATGCTATTCATCCATCTTCTCTTTTAGTGTATGCTTTGTATGTTATTGTGTCACAATGCATTTGCTCTGAGTGGGCAAACCATATGTTTTACTATCAAGAGATCATCAGCTCTACATTTTTACCATCTGTTCAGGTAATCGCTAAAGGACCAGGTTTAGAGAAGACAGGCGTGGCACCCAACACATGGGCAGAGTTCACAGTTGACACTCGTTCTGCAGGAAAAGCCCCTCTTTTTGTCAGCTGTATAGATGTGGACTACAACCCTGTAGAAGTTCAGGTCAGTAAACAAGTAAAAGGCTTTTTTTTTCAATGCAACCAGTGGCACATAGATTACAGGATGTTCTTGCCAGATTTTTATAGACATGTGCTTAATGTGAGCATCATGTTAGTGACCTTTACTTTCTGGGTCAACCAATGGGGAGCCAAGATAATGGGGAGGGGGGGGGGGGGGGTGTAATCCAACTTAAGGTGGATTTGAACTCAGGACCTGCAGGCATCTAGCCACAATGCTACCACCACTCCTGTTGTTCAGGTAAGTAGTTTCCTGCTAACTTTAGTGTATGGGAAACAATATGATAGCATGGTGCTCAGTTCATATACCCACCATTACTGTTATTTCTGGTTTAATTTTCATTGATGGTAGAAGTATCTCCACGTTTGTTGATGTTTAATAATGTTGATAGTTTGCTGCTGTTGTCCCAGGTCATGCTGGTGTGAAAGACAATGAGAGAGCAAATGCTTTTGCTGGCAGTGCGACTATTGGAGTGGGCCCTGTATGGACAGGAGAGACATCTTCATTGCCATACATGAGACTAAATGCATTTCACTTTCACTTTCCTAGGAAAACACGTTTTCACTGAATAGGCTGCACACCCTGGATAAACGAATTGGAGCCGCGAGACAGGAAAACCATGCGGCAGCCACCAGTCATTACATCAACCAGAAAAGAATGGGAATTGTTAGCTTAAAAACACTTGGAGACAAAGGAGGAGATCGGAGCACTTATGGTCTTGTCTGATGTGCGATAAGATGATATAAAAAATTGGCAATGAACATTTTGATATAAAACACTTATATTTAACAGAGATTTTCTGCACCCTCTGTAGGTACAAGACAATGGAAATGGCACCTACAACTGCAAGTACATGGCTACAAAGAGTGTCAAGCACACAGTCATCATTACGTTCGGCCTTGTCATGATCCCCAAGGCGCCATTCAGGGTAAGTCAGTAGGGGTAATATCTATGATGAGGGTGTTTTATTAGTTCAGTCTTTTCCATCTTCTTTCTGTGGAAAGTAAATAACCTGTCACGGTGCCACAAGACAGGGTTGTTCAGCTGGAGGTCCTTGGTTAAACAGACTCACTTCGTTAACTGACATTTGTAAAGAATGTTTTCTGAAATCGGATGTGTTGAGCCGAAAGGTGCAGATATTGCAGCCTAGCTGTAAGCCGCTACACCAGGCTATATAGATAAGTTTACTTAGGGACCAACATTTTAAAAATGGAGATAGTTACAGGCCAGAGGCTCTAGCCCTAGCACAGACAGATCATTAGTATAATAAACTGGCAGTGATATGTGGGCCACTTGCTAGCCCCGCGAGAGACTGATTGAATAGCCCTGCACTGCACTATATTGATATATAGCTTGTTGAATTAAGACAATAGTTATATTACCGTTGACAGTAAGTTAAATGTATACTGATTGTTTTATCTGTGGGTTTTTTTCAAGGTGTTTGTATACTTATAGATAGTCTGTGTTATATCTTTTTTTTTGTTTTGTTTCAAGGTGTTTGTTTCTGAACCAAGCAATCCTGCAAAGGTCAAGGTCCGTGGCCCAGGTGTGGAGAAAGGTGTTAAGACCTTCTCTTCAACCTACTTTATTGTAGACTGCAAGGAGGCTGGTCCAGGTAGGAATTTCTCTTCTCATTATTTTTATTATAAATTTTTCTAAATTTAAATAATTTGTTAAATGGATGCTTGTTTTAATAGAAGCCATAGAAGCTAATACTCTGGTCTGTATAGATAGTAAGTTAGAAAGGTAAAGGACTCTTTTCCACATCTTCAGGTGTATTGGGCATATAGGGCTAGATCTGTATTTTACAGCTTAGTTGACTTTCAGTGGGTGAACACGCCGGCTGTCTGTACTTCCCAGAACTTTACCTGGTACCTGTTTAAGGCTGTGTCGACCTGGAAACTGCAGTCATTTAAAAAAAAAAAAGTCCGGCTCAGTCAGAACCAGAATAACCGACCTTCTGATCCATAGGTGAGCATCTAGCCACTGTACCATGGCGGCTCCCCTATAAAGGCATTGATCTGGGTTTAATCCCTAGCAGCTGTAGGATTGTTTCAGATTTATATGGATATGGGATCAATCTAGCCACATACAAATCTGCACAATAATTATTTTTTTTTTTTTGGGGGGGGGGGGGGGGGTGTTCTTTTTTTTGCTAGGAAACCCACACTGGAAACTGAAAGAATTAATGTGCTGATTTTCCCTTACAGTGTCACTCTTGTATCTTAAGCATTATTGAATTCTTGCAGGTGATGTGGCAGTAGGTGTAACAGATGAGCGTGGAGTCGATGTTCCTGTGAAGACAATAGACAACCTGGATGGCACCTTCAGAGTGGAGTATGAGCCCAAGAGCCCGGGACAGTACACTGTTCTGGTGTACTTTGCCACCAAGGAAGTACCTCAGAGCCCCATTAAGGTCACTGTCGAAGCAAATATTGATGTTAGCAAGGTCAAAGTTGTTGGTCTGGAGAAAAGTAAGTGTCCTTTTCGTTGTACATTTTTGATTACCAAACAGTTTTCTTTTTCTTTTCAGTTTGTTTCCTCAAGGATTTCATTGTCAAAGATTATCATATAGTGACATGCGTCTTTTGAGTCCCAGAGGTTTTAGCATCACAGGCCCAAAGGGTAGTAAATAAAGACATAAAATTGGTGCATCATGCGTTCAGTAGGCTTCTAGGTAGGAACCTACTCGTATGAACGTATGATGCGTTCCTTGAGTTTAAGAGTCTGACACCCTGTTGTATATAACACTGGTATATTAGGGGACCCGACAGCCATGAAGTGAAAACAACCCTCACAAGAGTACTTGTCCTAGCCACTAGTTTTGGTACAGTTAATATCTCTTAGCCAATATAATTGGCATAAAGAAACCAGACCACACTTATAGCCGACACTGGTTGCAGTAAGTTGAACGTGGTCGATTTTATTGTTTTGTTTTTCATAAATGGATGGAGGTTGGATGGATACGAGGTAATCTGCAGTCGCCTGAGAACTTAGTGTTAAAGAAAACAGTCATTGAAAAATGCAGATGAAAATGTATATAGGAAACCATGTTGGTGCAGTGGCCTGTTGATCTGATCATCTTGGGTTCAAACCCTTATCATGCCAGTATTTAATGACCTTGATCACGTCACCAGTTAAGTGCCAGCTGGTCTATACGAAAATGAGTTCAGCACCAGGAGTACACTGCAGCACCAGGAGCACAGCGCAGCACCAGGAGCACAGTGCACTACTCACATGAAAAGGGTGTTTAACTTTACTTTCAGTTGCTGCTCACAACATGAAGTAATCATTATTGGAGGTTCCAGCTTCACTGCAGATGGGCCTCTCCATTACTGTGCTGGTGGATGTCCTTCACTGTCAATGCAAAATCCTGTCCCATTGTGGGACGCACATTTTGTTATTTTAAAACCCCACCCCGGTTGTAGTGGGGGCCTTATAATATAACGTAACGGTTGAAGGGATTTCTGGGATGTGCCTGGGTGATCCTCATCCGAATGGTGGCACTTTGTGTCATTTGAAACATGTCTCAAATGTTTAGACTGAATGCTTTTTGAAACAAATCTATCATATGTGGGCTGGTATTGTTTGAAGCAAGACTATCATGGTTGAAAGGGTTGTTGTTTGAACCAAATCTAAAAAACTGTTTAGAGTTTCATCATTGGAAGAGCATGCCATACCATTCAAGGCAAACATCAAAAGAGGAGAAGGACACAGTGCACAAGGTAGATCAAGAACAAGATAGAAAGATAACATCAGAGAAACTCTAAAAAAGCACAATGTCTCTATGGTCAAGGCAGCCAGAAGAGCAAGAAGCAGAACGTTATATCTCCCTCGACACCTGAAGCTGTTAAAGAAGAAGGGAGGAAAAAGAATTGTTGGAAGCAGATCTGTCATATTTACGTTGAAACTTATAAATTGTTTGAAACAAATGTGTCTGTTTAAAACAAGAATTATTTACAGTTAATTGAAGCAATAACTATTATGGTTAAACCGATTTTAATTTATTTGATATAAATATAGCATTGTTAAACTGATGACATTTGATGAACATGTTTCTTCATGGTTAAACTGATTATAATTTTTTTTGAAACCAAATATACCATTGTTAAACTGATCACATTGTGCTAAACATACATCTTCATGGTTAAACTGATTACTATTTATAGCTGTGCCTGTTGGACAGTCCCGAGATTTCCGTATCATCTCTGGAGATCTTCCTAAAGCAGAGGCCATCGTCAAGATAGTTTCCCCAACAAATAAGGTTATCGAAGTCCCCACAGTTCTAGCTGATGATGGAGCTACAGGTTCATTTACTTTACTGGAGCCAGGCCCACATCAGGTGCAAATCTCCTATGGGGGAGCACCTGTGCCAGATTCACCTTTCACTGTTGATGCTGTCTTGGGTGCACCTAATGTCAAGGCCTATGGGCCAGGTTTGACAGGAGGGGTGGCTGAAAGGCCTGCTGTGTTTACTGTAGATACAAGGGAGGAGAAAACACCAGGTGAGGTTAAGGTGACTGTGGATGGACCTGGTAAGCCTCCGGTCCAGATTAGGGACAACAAGGATGGGACCTTTGAGGCCACTTATGTTCCCACTGTACCTGGTGATTACACTGTCACAGTTACACATGGAGGCCGACCTATCAAAGATTCTCCCTTCAAGGTGACAATTCAGTCAAGCATCACCATTGTTAGTAAAGTCAAGGCCTATGGGCCCGGTTTGACTGGCGGAGAGGCTGATAAGCCAGCCCTCTTTACTGTTGACACCAGGGAGGAGAAGACACAAGGTGTTGTTGCAGTGACTGTAGAAGGACCTGCTGAATCCCCCGTGCAACTCAAGGACAACCAGGATGGGACTTTTGAGGCCACCTATATCCCTTCAGCACCTGGTAATTATTATGTCAATGTCACACATGGAGGATGTCCTATTGAAGAATCTCCTTTCAAGGCAAGCATTCAGCCAAGTACAACCGGTCAGAAAGTCAGCAATGTCAAGGCATATGGACCAGGTCTGACCGGAGGCGAGCCTGATAAACCAGCTGTTTTCACAGTTGATACAAGAGAGGAGAAGTCACAGGGAACTGTTGCAGTCACTGTAGAAGGACCCACAAAACCACCGGTCCAGCTGAAAGACAACAAAGATGGAACCTTTGAGGTCACCTACATCCCAACTGCACCTGGTGTTCACTATATCAATGTCACTCATGCAGACCGTCCTATCCAAGAATCACCTTTCAAGGCAGCCATTGAACCAAGTGCAACTGGTCCAGGTGTCAGTCGTGTTCGTGCATATGGACCAGGCTTGACTGGAGGCGAGGCAAAGAAGCAAGCTGTGTTCACTGTAGACACAAGAGAGGAGAAGACAATAAGAGCAGTTGGAGTCTCAATCAAAGGGCCAGGTAAATCTCCCGTCAAACTCAAGGACAACCTAGATGGGACCTATGAGGTGTCCTACATCCCATCCACACCTGGTGACTATGCTGTCATTGTCACTCATGGGGACAATCCTATACAAGAATCCCCTTTCAAAGCAACCATTAAGCCAAGCACCAAGGCTCCAGTCAGTGGAGTTCAGTCTAATGTCAAAGCATATGGACCAGGTTTAACTGGAGGTGTGGCTAACAAGCCAGCAATATTTACTGTTGACACAAGAGAAGAGAAGACTCAAGGAGCTGTTGCAGTATCCATGAAAGGACCTGGTAAGTCCCCGGTCCAACTCAAGGACAACCAGGATGGCACTTTTGAGGCCACATATGTCCCCACCGCACCTGGAGATTACACTGTCAATGTCACACACGGAGGACGTCCTATCCAAGATTCTCCATTCAAAGCTACCATTCAGCCAGCTACTCAAAAGGTAAATAATGTCAAAGCATACGGACCTGGTCTGACTGGAGGAGAGGCAAACAAGCCAGCTGTGTTTACTGTTGACACGAGAGAGGAGAAGACAAAAGCCAGTGTTGGAGTGAATGTGGAAGGACCATCTGAGACACCTGTCCAGTTTAAAGACAACAAAGATGGAACATTTGAAGTCACCTACATTCCCTCAGAACCTGGTGACCACTATGTTAATATCACACATGGAGACCGCCCCATCAAAGAGTCTCCTTTTAAGGCGAGCATCAAACCGAGCACAGAAGCCCCAGGAGTGAGTGCTGACCGTGCTAATGTCAAGGCATATGGACCGGGCTTGACCAGAGGAGAGACTAACAAGCCAGCAGTTTTTACTGTTGACACAAGAGAAGAGAAGACTCAAGGAGCCGTTGCAGTGTCCATGACTGGACCTGCCAAATCTCCAGTCCAGCTCAAGGACAACCTGGATGGAACATTTGAGGCCACCTATGTCCCAACCGCACCTGGAGACTACACTGTAAATGTCACACACGGAGGACGGCCTATTCAAGAAACACCTTTCAAAGCTACCATTCTGCCAGCCGGGCAGAAAGTCAGGAATATCAAGGCATATGGACCAGGCCTGGCCGAAGGAGAGGCGGATAAACCAGCTGTGTTTACTGTTGATACAAGAGAGGAGAAGACACCAGGAACTGTTGCAGTCACTGTAGAAGGACCCACTGAAACTCCTGTTCAGATTAAAGACAATAAGGACGGGACTTTGGAAGTCAGCTACGTCCCATCTAAGCCTGGTGATCACTACATTAATGTGACACATGGAGACCTCCCTATTAAAGAAACTCCTTTCAAGGCAAGCATTCAGCCAAGTTCAGAGGCTCCAGGAGTTAAAGGTGATCGTGCAAATGTCAAGGCATATGGACCTGGCCTAACTCGAGGAGAAGCAAACAAGCCAGCAGTGTTTACTATTGACACCAGAGAAGAGAAGACGCAAGGATCTGTGGGAGTGTCCATGAGTGGTCCTGCCAAGTCTCCAGTCCAGCTCAAGGACAACCTGGATGGAACCTTTGAGGCCACCTATGTTCCAACCGCACCTGGAGACTACACTGTCAATGTTACACATGGAGGACGACCTATTCAAGAAACACCTTTCAAAGCTACCATATTGCCAGCCGGTCAGAAAGTCAGAAATGTCAAGGCGTATGGACCAGGCCTGGCCGAAGGAGAGGCGGATAAACCAGCTGTGTTTACTGTTGATACAAGAGAGGAGAAGACACCAGGAACTGTTGCAGTCACTGTAGAAGGACCCACTGAAACTCCTGTTCAGATTAAAGACAATAAGGACGGGACTTTGGAAGTCAGCTACGTCCCATCTAAGCCTGGTGATCACTACATTAATGTGACACATGGAGACCTCCCTATTAAAGAAACTCCTTTCAAGGCAAGCATTCAGCCAAGTGCAGAGGCTCCAGGAGTTAAAGGTGATCGTGCAAATGTCAAGGCATATGGACCAGGTTTGACTCAAGGAGAAGCTAACAAGCCAGCAGTGTTTACTATTGACACCAGAGAAGAGAAGACTCAAGGAGCTGTGGGAGTGTCCATGAGTGGACCTGGCAAATCTCCTGTGCAACTGAAGGACAACCTGGATGGAACATTTGAGGCCACCTATGTTCCTACCTTACCTGGAGATTACTTTGTCAATGTCACACATGGAGGACGGCCTATTCAAGAAACTCCTTTCAAAGCTACCATTAAGCCGACTGGTCAGAAAGTCAGTAATGCCAAGGCTTATGGGCCAGGCCTAACTAGTGGAGAGGCTGATAAGCCAGCTGTGTTTACAGTTGACACAAGAGAGGAGAAGATACAAGGAGCAGTTGCAGTGACTGTAGATGGACCTACTAAATCTCCTGTCCAGCTCAAAGACAACCAGGATGGAACCATTGAAGTCACCTATGTCCCCACGCAACCTGGTAATCACTACATTAATGTGACACATGGAGACCTCCCTATTAAAGAAACTCCATTCAAGGCTACTATTCAACCAAGCACAGAAGGGGTAAGCACTGACCGTGCAAATGTGAAGGCGTATGGACCTGGCCTCACTCGAGGAGAAGCTAACAAGCCAGCAGTGTTTACTATTGACACCAGAGAAGAGACAATACAGGGAGCTGTGGCAGTGTTTATGAAGGGACCTGGAAAATCTCCTGTGCAGCTCAAAGACAATCAGGATGGAACCTTTGATGCTACCTATGTCCCAACCTTACCTGGAGACTACATTGTCAATGTCACACATGGAGGGCGCCCCATTCAAGAAACTCCTTTTAGGGCAACCATTCTGCCAGCTGGACAGAAAGTCAGTAATGCTAAGGCATTTGGTCCAGGCCTGACTGGAGGAGAGGCTGATAAACCAGCTGTGTTTACTGTTGACACAAGAGAGGAGAACACGCAAGGAGCTGTTGCAGTGACTGTTGAAGGGCCTGCCGAGTCTAATGTCCAGATCAAAGACAACCAAGATGGAACACTTGAGGTTACCTACTTCCCTTCCGTATCTGGGAATCACTATGTCAGCGTCACCCACGGAGACCTTCCTATTAAAGAATCTCCTTTCAAAGCAACTATCCAACCAAGCACAGTTGGTCCAGATGTTGTTCGTGCAAATGTCAAGGCTTATGGGCCAGGCTTAACTCGAGGAGAAGCTACCAAGACAGCAGTTTTTACCATCGATACAAGAGAGGAGACCACACTAGGAGCTGTTGGGGTGAGTCTTAGGGGACCCGGAAAATCTCCTGTCCAGCTCAAGGATAACAAGGATGGAACTTTTGAGGCCTCATACGTGCCTTCTCTGCCTGGAGACTATGTCGTCAATGTCACACATGCAGGCCGCCCCATCCAAGACACCCCCTTCAAGGCAACCATCCAAGCCAGCACAACCGAGCTGGATGTCAGTGGAGTTCGTGCCTATGGACCTGGCGTTAGCCCTGAGGGTAATCCTCTAGGAGCATGGACTTATTTGTCTTGTGGCTTGATGCAAATCCAAGCATTACTTAACAGAATGAGTTCACATGTGCACCCACAAAAATAACTGCATAACCTTTTTTCTTCTTCCAATGTCACTTTTTTTTTTGGCTGCCAGATTTTTAAAGTCTGCATTGTAATATATTACAAATAATTTTGTTGTTTTTGAAGTGCCTTGCCACCCAACTGGTAAGGGTGATAATGATCCATTGCAACCCTTACCCCTTGTTGCTATTTGTTAACCATAATGATAGTAGTCTAAATGTGTTGTTAAACTAGCTCAGCTGATTAAGTAACAAGCATGATAACTAAATAAACAGAGTCCACTGATTTGTGCAGCTAGACAGCATGATGCCATGAACACTGTTTTTTTTTTTAGAATGATTTATTGCAGATTTTTATTTTCTGTTTATACAAATTTATTATGATGCATGCCTTTTGTTGTGGTGGTTTATTTATTTATTAAAAACCATTTTTTTTAATTGTTTTTTTTTAACACAGGGTATGATATGGCTGTAGAGTACTAATGTATCCTAACATAAGTATTTATCTGTTTTCTCTTCAGAATATAAGTTGTGGGTATTTTTCTCCTCCATGTCATCCATTTCCATGGGAAGCCAAGACTGTCTGTATCTTCATGTCTCACATTCCTTTTATGTTTTCATCTGACAGTGAAACAGTCCCTCAACCAGCTCATGCCAGCTAATGTGTTCTTCTTCTGCTGCTGTTTCTTCTTCTTCTTCTTCTTCTTCTTCTTCTTCTTCTTCTTCTTCTTCTTCTTCTTCTTCTTCTTCTTCTTCTTCACGCTCACCGGCTGTAAACTCCAGCTGAAAGTCCTGGTTGTTCTTCAACTTCTAGACTGATCTTGTTCCAGTACTTGAATTTTGCATGGGCATCCATTTTATGGATCTGGAATATCATGTATGCAGACTGTTAGTTCCGTTCCTCTTAGGCAGATGCAGTCCAGTTTCTACGAACTGCTTGTTTGGGGGCAGTGAGTTTTTTCATTTATTACCTCCAGAATTAATGCACCCAGACTTCACACAGGGACACTCATTCAAAAAATACCATCTCTGATTTATTATCCATGTCTCACTTCTATACATTATGATTGATTATATACACATGTATATGATCCCTGGAAGCACTCATTCGTTTACAGAGATATGAACCTGGTTTAGAAAGTCAGCATTTTTCTTTTCAAAATATCATTAACAATATCAGAAACAGTAATAAATACTTTTTAGGGTGGAAACTTTTGAATGTTCTAATGCAACTCATGGGGCATGATTGTCAATAAACTGTGTTTATTTCGGTAGTTTTGTTACACCCTGATGCATGCACAGTTTTTGGTTTGTTGTAAAATGCAGAAAAAAATGTTGCAGCAAAGTGCAACTCATTGTGTGATATGTACATTGTAATTAATGTCACATTATAGCTTGAAAATGTGCACACTTTTAGTTTAATTACTGAATAAGCATGGTTACAGCATAAAACATTCCTGTTCAGCAAAAAGAAACATAAAAGCATATTCATTCCCAGCCTATGCTATCAGTGCCAGAGATGGTCACTCACAACAAAATATGAAAGAAACTTAGTAACCATGGAAATGAGATGTTTGAGAAAGGCTGCAGGTGTAACCAGAAGAGATAAAATCAGAAATGAGGTCATATGAGAAAATTGGGGGAAGGGGGGGGGGGGGTGTTGTAGTCAAAGAAGAGGACGGCAAAGAAGAACCTGAAATGACAATACCAAGAAATGGACAGGACTAAGTTAATACACTTTTTCATCAAGCAAAAGACAGAGAAAGATGGCGGATTTTATGTGCTGATGCTTTCATCAATACACCTCTACGACCCTAATGGGTCAAGGGTTATGTTTTTTTATGTTATGAGAAAATGTTGCAGAGGTAGAACATGGAATAGATCAAGAACAAGATGGAAAGATAATATCGGAACAATTCTACAACAGCTTGATATGTCTATGGCTTAGGCGGCCAGAAAGGCAAGATATAGAACCTCAAGTCTCTCTCGACACCCAGAGTGGTAAGACAAGAAGTAAGGAGAAGAAGAACACTGAATTAGCAGTATGGTTTACAATGTCCAATGCTGTTAAGTTAGTTATGTATCCTTTATGACATTACAGAACAACCCCTGCATTTCTTGGCTATTTGTGGTTTTACTAGGCAATTTTACATTCAGTAGTTTGCCATTATTTTCACCTCAACATTTGGCTCTCTATAACAAAATCAAAAATCGGTGCGAAGCGGTCTACTGACAAATATATCTTCCACTGCAGGAATAATCTTGGTATCTCGAAATTATGAATCACATTCGCAATCTCTAAGCCACAGATGCCAACTGAAAACCCCAACACAAGCAAATCAGCATTTGTTGTAGCATGTCTTTTCTTTTTAGCTTACTGAATAGACGAGGCTTCTCAAACTTGTGGCTCTTTGCGAGCACACCTGCAACGCAAAGTAAAAATGTTTTGCATTTTTTTTTGGGTATTAAATGACTTCATGTAGTTGTCGTATTTAGCCCTCGTGACAACGCAGATGTGACCCATATGGCCATCGGAAGACCTTCAGTTTGACATGCCTGGAATAGACCATTTGTCTTAGTATGTTCTTAGGCACTGTCGAGGTGGTGGGTTCAATCCCAGCTACATGTGACTTGGCAGCAGATGGTCTTGCGTTGGTTTCGATAGTGGTATCAAGAGTTGAACATTTAGAAAGCAAGGCAAACTGCTAAATGTAAATTTGCCTTGAAAAACCTAAAAAGCTAAGAAATGCACGGGTTTGTTTTGCAACGTCCTGTAAAGGATACGCAACAAACTGTTAACTAAGTATGTTAATTTTTTTGGTGCAGAATGGGTTTTAAGCATAATTGTTCTCAAATAAATATAAGGAAAAGTATTGGAACTATACAGATTTACTATTATCATAGATGTTATAAATAAATACGCATCTTGGACCATTAAGTTTGATTGTGTAAATGAGGGTTTGCTTATAATGTTGCTGAATGAGCCATTGTGGTATAGTATTATCTACTGTCTTCCACAGGGGTGTTCACGGAGTGTCCCAACGAGTTCACAGTTGATGCGAGGTCAGTGTCTCCTACAGCCCAGGGCAAAGTCAAAGCCATTGTGACCAGCCCTAGTGGACAGAGGACTGATACACTGGTCAAGAACAAAGGGGATGGCACGTACAGTGTACTGTACACACCTGTAGAGGAAGGTAGGAACTCCCTGAACTCCTTCTGTGCAGCATCAATAAATGATCATTTAACATTGTCAGGTATCCCTGTGTGGCTTCCGGGGCCCCATTGTGTGTGTGTGTGTGTGTGTGTGTGGGGGGGGGGGGGATGAATAGACCCATAGCCTACCCAAAAGCATGTTGTAGGAGTCAACTAATTGGACGCTTCCTTTAAAGTCGGAGTACATGTGCCTGATAGGCAAGGAACCAACAGTCTGCATGCAGATGTGTCAGACCTGTGAAACAGATGTGCATGCAACACTCAGTTTCTAGGACAGGACTAGAGTCCAGAAGTGGACGAGCAACCAGAACTTTCTGCCTGAGTTCACTGCTGTTGAACAAAGAGAAGAAGATCACCAAGTATTCCCGTCCTTGGGCAGGTTGTGAAGCTTCCTGCTCATTTCCTTCCAGAGTTGCATGTCATCTTTTGTGTGTGTGAATGTTGCCCTTCTTCTATTTCTTCTTTGCATTCACCTGCTGTAAACTCCTGCAGAAAGTTCTGGTTGTTTGTCCACTTCTGAACTTGTTTTGTTCCATAACTTTTGTTGTGCCTACATACCCATTATTTCAGATTTGGCTTATTTTTATGCAGATTTTTAGCATCTTTTTTGTGATAATGCAAAGGCTAGACACTTGCCTGCTGTCTTCAGTGATCTGGCTTTGAATCCGCACCAAGGCATTTTTTTGCTACAGAATAATCATGATTTCCAGGAAGGGTCATGAAATTGGTCTATAAAAGATAGGTATAGCACAGTAATTGCTGCCCAGGCTTTGTGCAGTGGAAAGGATGAACTTCATCCCTGGCCTTAATTGGTCTCAGAAATGACCTCTGCTACAGTATAAAGATGTGTACAAGTGGGCCATGAATAATACATCTATTGAGGTGGACTTGTGGGAACAAAATGCAATGCACCATGTTGAATGGAGGGGCACATCAGGAAGGGACTGAAAATGAAGAAAGAAATGACTGCAGAAAGGAGGAGAGCTGAGCATCTGAGAAGAAACAGACTAAACACAAATGTTGACAACAACAGTTCTGAAATCCCATGCTGTAATTGTGAAAGACTTTTCTTAACGCGGGCAGTTCTTGCTGGTCATACTTGTCATTGCCATGGGCTGTGAGTCCCTTACCTCTAATAGCCGGTACAACACTGTTGTCTGAAAAGACAGAAAGGTGCCAGTCAGTCAGTTAGTACAGTATGCCCAGTGCGTCAGTAAAAAAGATTTGTCACTTTACTTTTACTCAGGATTAAAAAAAGAGTCAGGCGAATGTATGTTTGTTTTAGTAACCAGAAGCCATGAGTTGTTAACCCTTAGGCTCGGTATTATGGATATTGCAACCTTTCGGCCTTGATTCCATTTTAAATACCGTAAATCTGGGATAAATGTGGCTTTTCTGCCCACCCCCGGGAGTGAACCCAGACCACAAGGAGTTCGTCACCCGGTCACCGCGCAATCCGGTTTAGCCAACTACGCTAGAGAGACGGGCATGGCGAATGTATTATTTCTCGATATTTCTAACATGTTCCTGTTATTGATTCCTTCTGTTGTGTCTCTCAAAAGGACCCCAGAAGATTGATGTCACCTATGAGGAGCTTCCTATTCCAGAATCTCCACTGACTGTATCCGCCACACCGGGAAGTGATGCCAGCAAAGTCAAGGCATACGGCCCAGGTCAGAGATTTCTCACTTTGTTGTGTTCTTGATGTATTTTGGTTGCTGTTAACTGGAAGCAACAGAAGCACAGTTGATGGAATGCTTGCATACCTGCCAGGGGATCATGTGTTCTTGTTCACATTCCTGTGCTTAGAAGGTCATGGATTCATTTCAAGGCTGTCAGATGAAAGATTTTTTGGTCGCCTTTTTTCCCCCCACCATATCTACGGCCACATGATGATGATTTCAAAGAAATAAGCCCGTTTTGTCTTCTTGTAATTTGTTCTCCATTTAGTTTGGTGCAAAAAAATAAAAAATGTGATAAGTGTATTTTGAATGGCCGAGAAATTACATTTTGTTAGTCTGTTTTGAGTTCATGTCCATCCTGATATAGGCAGACGTAAAAAAAAATTTTTTTTACCTTGGTTCTTAGGTCAACCCAGTCTTTAAGGGGTATCAGGTAAAGTCCCGGGAAGTAAAAGTGGCCAGCATGATATTGATCACATTACCCATTCCGCGCCATTTGGTCTATAAAATATGTCTAGCCCTATGTGCCCAAAGGCGTTGAAAGGGTCCTTTACGTTACTAGAGTATGCGAAGGTCCAACATTTCACACCACAACAGCAGTATCTCTTATGGATAAACCTCTGCCTTTTGTCTTCAGAATGTTTATGTTATCATTTATGATTATTCTTGCCAGTGGTGGTTTTCCCCAAAAAATGTTTATGTTATCAGTTCTCATTTATCTTACCAATAATACTTTTTCCTCAAGGAATGTTTATGTTATCAGTTTTGATTATTCTTGCTAGTGGTGCTTTTCCCTAAGGAATGTTTATGTTATCAGTTCTAATTTATCTTACCAATGGTACTTTTCTCAAATGAATGTTTATCTTATCAGTTCTAATTATTTTTACCAAGATGCCCTCCCCCCTCCCCCAAAGAACGTTTATCTATTTTATCAGTGATTATTGTTCTTGCCACTGGTGCTTTTCCCCAAGCAATGTTTTTCTTATCAGTTCTAATTATTCTTACCAGTGGTGCTTTCTCCAAGGAATATTTATGTTATTATGTCTAATTATTGTTACCAGTGGTGGATTCCTCCAAGAGCTCACTAATATCCTTGTCTGTACAGGTCTGGAGGCTGGAATCACTGACCAGCCAGCTGTGTTTACAGTTGACCTGAAAGGAGCTGGCAAGGGAGGACTCGGTCTGGGCATTGAGGGTCCCGAGGAGACCCCCATTCAGTGCCAGGACAATCACGACGGAACATGCCAGGTGGTCTACCAACCCAAAAAGTCTGGACCTTACGATATCGCTGTCAAGTTCAATGATCAGCATATTCCTGGTATGTTTATGTATGACTTGAGAGCAGTGTTCCTTAGCCTTTTTTTTACATCCACATCTTAGGACAGAGAAACTTGTTTTCTTGGCCTACATGAGTATTTTTTTTTTTTTTTTTATTAAACTCAGTGTCACAAAATTGTTTTCAGCTGATCTGCTTCTGCTTAGAGGTTAGAAAATCTATGCAGTTGAGAGGGCTTTCTGAAATTTACGAGTGTTAATCATGCAGAATCCAATCCTGGAAGAGGGAAAACTACCTATCCTCCCTTATTTCATGATTAGGCCCCAGAAAGTTGGCGGCCAACCTGGACTTTTCCCGCGACCCAGGGATTGAAGAGCACTGCTTTAGAGCAACAGTTTAAAAAAAAATTTGTAATGTTAAGAAGATCAAGTGGTAAATGAGGCTGCCTGACCCAAAGGTTTTAGGATCCAGGTTTCAGCACCCACTAGGGCCAGAGCTCCACCTATCAGAGGTAAAATTCTTCTGCTTTGTGCTCACCATCTGTTAACACCAGCAGAAAGTCCTGGTTATTTTTCCGCTTCTGGACTTTAGTTTTGTTGCATAACTTGAGTTTTGCATACACATCCGTTTTACAGATCTGGCTTATTTGGTTCTTCACTTCTGAGACAGATGCACTCTGATTTTTAAGGAAAAACCCCTGATTAATTGGCTTTTACGACACGCTTGTTAGGGAACTTTGGGGCTATACTGCCCCATTCCCCCCCCCCCCCCACCCCCATATAGAGATATCCCTTCATTAAAATCTGACTCCTTTTATATAGAACTGTAAAATGTATATCATCTTGTCAACAGGCAGTCCATTCCATGTGGGCGTCAAGAATCCAGTGAACCCGTCTAAGGTCAAGTGTCACGGCCCAGGTTTGGATAGTGCCAATGTCAAGGCTGGTCTCCCAGCTGTGTTCACAGTTGATGCTTCAGAAGCAGGAGAAGCACCTCTGGAGGTCACATACACAGACAACACAGGTAAGCCAGTAGCTTCCCACACTCATGTGCCAGGTAGCTAAATCTTCTCCTCCTCCTTTTCTTCCTCCTTCTTCTGCTTCTTCTTCTTCATCGTGTTCACTGGCTGTAAATTGTTTGTCCACTTCTGGACTCTATTAGTCTTGTTTGAGAACTTGAGTTTTGTGTGCACCTCCGTTTTACAGATCTGGCTTTATGTCTAAGCTAGCTCTTGGTTACTTTTCTTTTAGAAAGATACTCCTACTTTGAAGGAAGTACTCCTCATTAGTCTACTTTTGTGACTTGCTTGTTAGGAGTGTCAGTTGGTCTTCTGCCCCCACCACTACCAAATGGGGACCTGGAAATCCAGAAGGGAAAGTTAGCTAAATAAACCAGAACAGTATAATTTGGCTGTAATTTAATGTACAATTTGAATTGTGTTGGGAAATTAACAGGCAGTTAGATAGGCTGTGGCTGTACTACGGAGTGATGAAATGATGCATGGCGAGCTAGATATGGTTTAAGGGTAGGAATAGATCAAGTGAATTTGCCATCCAGCATCATATTTCTTATTGTTCTACTTATTCTGCTTCTTGAACATCTGTCACCCAAATCATAGACACATTGTACTGTTTGTAGAGTGACTGTGATGTTATCTTTCCATTATTTTCATCTTGTTCTGTGTTTGTCTCGTGCTCTACATCCCTCTCCTTTTTTTATTTATGCCTTGTATAGTATGGCCTCACAAGGCATTTTGAGTTGGGCAACCATTTTATTGTGTGTCTTTGTATTGCATTGTCTGTATTGACATCCTAGCACATCAGTCTGACCCATTCCTGTTCCATCCTCTGTTGCAGCACCCATCTCAATGTCTCCTCGCTCATCACACCCAAAAGGAGTTGATTGTCATCCAGCAGGTGGTTCATGGTCTCTGATTCATTTATCTCAACATCTCTGGGACACCACCAAGTCGGTATGTCTTCTCTGTCCACTTCTTTCTCCACTAACTACTGCAGAAACGGCCAACCTGTCAGCTTTTTAATTTCCTTTCACCCCTGCATTTCCTGGTGTGCACAGCCAAGATAGTTTCCTGAGACAGGACTTTTGGTTTCTTGAGACAAGACTTCTATTTCCTTCATTCAACCCATTTTTAGGTGGAGTTTGCCAGTTTGGATTTTCTTAAGCATGCTCATTGAATCTGACTTTTTATGTAATTTAGTATTGGCTGTGGTCCAAATTATTCTTTTAAGAGTTCATTAATGTCTAATTAACTTGGGTTTTTGTTTTGTTTCCAGGTAAGAAACGCCAAGCTGAAATCGTGCCAGTTGATGATGATGTGTATCAGGCCTCCTACATACCCGCTGCAGAAGGACCATGCCAGGTGGATGTCAAATATGCTGACCAAAGTGTGCCTGGCAGGTGAGAGCAGAAATGGTGTTTAGTTTTATTTCCTACTGTAAGAAGTATTAGGCGTAGTAGATGTTGCACTGCCTTAGCTTGCACAGTGGCCCAGCTTCTGTTATAAGTCGTAAAACTGAACTGGGCTCTCATATCAACCCAGGGAAAAATGTATTGACTCATTCATTGACTTATTGTGTCAACATATGCCACAACAGGCTCACAGACTGTTTCTCTATTCGGCTCTCTTCTGTGCAGTCACTTGAATGTATAGAATCTAGTCCAGCACCTTTGGCTTCTTTCATCAACTTTCATTATGGGGTTTCTCTGGGACATTTCCTCAACCCTATCAGTTTCCCATTTGACTGCCTTTTTGGGGATTCTCAGTTCCTCTCTTCTCAGCGTGAACCCAGTATAGCGCCATCTTCTCTTGTCTAATTATACCTGTTGATACCAGTGGCCTATGAAAAATGTCCTGGGAAGTAAAGGAGGTTGGCATGACTCTGACTACATGGCTATAGGTTCAAGCTCTCATTAGGATGGATTTCTTCTGCTTTCATCTGAAGACGTTAATGTGTTGTACCATGTTTACAGCATGGCTGAGATATTTGCACCTTTTGGCTTACACACCCAGCTTCTGCGGGCATTTGTTGTCCAGATTACCCTTTCAGGAGGTGGATTTTCAAAACTGACTTTTATTTCTCAGAAAATTTGAATCGATTTTCAGCTAGGCCGACCTGGGAGACCGGGTCAGTGAAAGAATTCCACTTGAAAGGGATTTGACTCTCTCAGTACCAATCAGTGTACATTTCTTTGTAATTTCAGTGATAATGTAACCTCTTGCTGTCATCACAGATAGATGTTATGTTGAATCCTTATATCTGAATTATTAGTGTAACCCCCCGTGTGGGTTCCGGGGCCCCACTGTGGGGAAAGCAAGAATAGACCCACTGCCTCCCCAAAAGCATGTCGTAAGAGTCGACTAATTGGGGAGCTTCCTTTGAAGTCGGAGTGCATCTGCCGGAGAGGCAAGGAACCAACAGTCTGTATTCAAGAGAATGAGATCTGTAAAACTGATGCACATGCAACACTCAGGTTCTGGAGCAGGACTGCAGTTCAGTAGTGGACGAGCAACCAGAACTTTCTGCCAGAGTGTACAGCTGGTGAACGCGAAGAAGAAGAAAATTAGTGTAACTACTTCTGTCGCAAAAAAAATCTAAAGTGAAATTCTTCAGACAAAAATATTTACTGCTTTTAAGCACAACTCCATGGGACAGAACTGCTTGGAAAAGAGTTGAACACATAGTGACTGAGCCAGTGGGCAAGCATGCTAGTCACTGTGCTGCCACACTTCTGCTCTTATAGGCATTAAAATCCAAAAAGCTGTTATCATCACATTTATAATATAAGCCTTATTTTAACTCAGTCCATTTCTGCTACTATAGGGAAAAAATCTAGATGTTTTTATCATTAATTTATTTCATAACTATTGTTTTATTGCTCACTCCATTTCTCCATCTATAGGAAAATCTAGATGTTTTTTATCATTAATTTACTTCATAACCATTGTTTTATTTTCCAGTCCATTTCTGCTCCTATAGGAAAATCTAGATGTATTTATCATTGATTTACATCATAACCATTGTTTTATTTTCCAGTCCATTCCGTGTGAATGCAGCCCCAGGTGTCGATGCTAGCAAGGTGAAAGTCAAAGGTCCAGGTGTTTCTGGTACCACACCTGCCAGTCTGCCGGCAGTCTTCAATGTGGACACCCGTCAAGCAGGAGATGCTGAACTGGACATCTTTGTGAAGGTATATATATATTTGTTGTTAAAAGCTTGCACGCTGAACATCTCATTCTTCAGTGATGGGTAGAAGATGTTGAAGTCAGCCTGTGCTACAATATGAAGCTGTGGGACATGCAGCTATTGAGCTGGATTTGTGGGAACAGGATCCCAAGGACTGTGTTGCATAGAAAAAAGTGGGGGGGGGAGGGGGGGATCAGGAAGAGAATAAAAAAAAGAAAGTGATTAGAGATGGGTTAAGATCTGAGCATATGGGAAGAAATGCTCTTAAAATCCAGTGTTCCAATTGGGGAATGGACCTTTTCTTAATGTGAGTGGGTCTTGGTAGCCACACTGGCCATCAGCATAGGACGTGACTCTTATACCTTCCCATAGCACAGTATAACACTCATCTGAAAAGACAAAAAGGTGTCAACAATCAAACTCTTCAGTGTAAACTTGATCCTAAGCTCAAAGTATTTAGCTCTAGTACTTCTTATAGGAGTGGGGCAGCCGTGGTGTAGCGGCTAGATGCTCGCCTGCAGATCGGAGGTTGTCCAGGTCCTAATGGAGCCGGACTTTTTTCAAATTTGACCTTGACTCCAGGGTCGACGCAGCTTTAAATAAGTACCACATACAGTCTTGGGAAATAAGAGTGCCTGTTGGTTTGTAAAATATAGGTCTAGCCCTCTATGCCCAGGGTGCCTGAAGGCATGCAAAAGGCGTCTTTATTTTACTTCTTATAGGAACAATCGGTCGAGAATGAGTTGGTTGAAGTTGAGGACCTTTGCTCGACCAGGGGATAAAGGCAGAAAAAGAACTTGTCAGTGAATCTAACATCTAGTATCAAATGTTGAATAAATCCAATGTTTATTCTTAAGCCATGTCAGTTTTTAATGGCAGACAACCCCAAAAAAAAAAAACATGGAGGAGGGAGCTAGACAGTGAAGTTATTAAGGTGGGGAGAATATGGGATGAGCTGCATGTAATGGCGAAAGATAGAACGACTTGGCATGAGTTGGCTGAGGGCCTAGTCTCCATTGGGGAATAGAAGGCAGAAGAAGCAATAGAAATTTACCCTGGTGAGGTCCTCTTCTGAACGGTCACACTCTGTATTTCCTTCCAGCGCCCTGATGACACCTTCATCCGCCCAATCGTACAAGAGAACGTTGACGGCACGTATGATGTGGCCTACACACCTGAGGATCTGGGTGTGTACGATATCACCGTACAGTATGGAGGCCAGAATGTTCCTGGATCACCTTACAATGTCAAAGCTACACCTACAGGCGATGCTAGCAAGTGTAAAATTACAGGTGTGTAGAGTTAACTTGTGGTTGTTGTTGTTCTTCTTCTTCTTCTTTGCGGTCACCGGCTGTATATGGCATAAAGTTCTAATTGTTCGTCCACTTCTGGACTCTAGTCCTGTTCCAGAACCTGAGTGTTGCTTGCACATATGTTTTTCAGATCTGCCTCATTTGTATACATACTGTTGGTTCCTTGCCTCTCAAGCAGATGCACTCTGACTTTGAAGGAAGCTCCCAATTAGTCAACTCTTACAATATGCTTTTGGGTAGGCAGTGGGTCTGTTCTTGTTTTCCCCACCATAGGGCCCAGGTACTCACATGGGAGAACGTGTTCAACAATTTATTATTTTTTTTTTTTTTATTGCAGGTGTTTTCATTCTTATTATTTTAAGTGTAATACGAAGAGACGGAATCAGAAGTAATGATATTAGGAAATAAGTGGTGAGTAGGTGGAATATCCAACACCTACATTATGTAGCACACACCAAGGCTTGCACAAGATGCTTCTTCAAACCTGGCAATGAAAGGCAGAACATGCTCTCTCTCTCTCTCTCTCTCTCTCTCTCTCTCTCTCTCTCTCTCTCTCTCTCTCTCTCTCTCTCTCTCTCTCTCTCTCTCTCTCTCTCTCTCTCTCTCTCTCTCTCTCTCTCTCCCCCCCCCTCCCCCATCTCTCTCTCTCTCTCTCTCCCCCCCTCCCCCATCTCTATATATCTCTCTCTCTCCCCCCCTCCCCCATCTCTATATATATCTCTCTCTCCCCCCTCCCCATCTCTATATATCTCTCTCTTTTCCCCACCCCTTTATCTCTCTCATTTTCTCTTTCTCTCCCCCCCCCTTATCTCTATCTCTCTCTCTTTCCCCCACCCCTTTCTCTCTCTCTCTCTCTCTCTCTCTCTCTCTCTCTCTCTCCTCTCTCTCTCTCTCTCTGTCTGTCTGTAGGAAAGTTGGGGGGGGGGGGGGGGGAACAAGAATGTAAATAGATATTAAAATGTGATTTTTATTTTTCACATTCTGAAAAATAATTCCTAATGTTTAATTTTCTTGTCTAAGGTGGAAATGATCGCACAATCGAGGTTGGTAAGGAGACTATCATCACAGTGGATGCATCTCATGCTGGAGTCGGCAAGATCACATGTCGTATCCGAACTGCTAGCGGTTCCGACATTGACATTGATATTGTTGAGCAAGCCGACGGCACCTTCTCCATCTCCTTCATTCCTCAGTTCGCAGGACAATACACGATTGAAATCAAATTTGGGGGAGAGGTGATTCCAAATGGAAGCTACACAGTACAAGTAGGTCTCTTGTTAAGGTGTTGCTGTTCACCATCTTAACTCTTTACGTCTCTATTGCTAAACCCTGTGGGACCAAAAGAGTTAAAACACTTATTCTTTTAGTTTGTCTGACATCTGCAGATATCTTTGGGAATATATTTAAAGAAAAAGTCATGTAGCCTTTGCAGGAGAATGCTGCAGAACCTTTTGCAGAATTTGTTGGCTGTTTTTTGGTTTTACTAGGCAGTTTTCTCCATGTGGATACTGAGTCCTCATCTGGGGGAGGATGGGGTGATGGCCAAACTGTATTCCTTATAAGCATGTCGTAAAAGGCAATTAATTAGGGGATTTCTCTCTCTGCCTGAGAGGTGAGGAACCAGCATTCTTTGTACAAGTAAGTCAGATCTGTAAAATGGATGTGCATGCAAAATTAAGTTCCTAGATCAAGACTAAAGTCCAGAAGTGGACAAACAACCAGAACTTTCCGTTGGAGTTTACAACCGGTGAATGCTCAGAAGAAGATGATGACATTCAGTGGTTTGCCTTAGCTTTCTGAAGGTCTATCCCCTCCCCCCTCCCCGCCCATCTTTTGTTTTTTAGACAGGGTCTTAGAACCTGCACAGGAAGTAAACGCCCCTAAATCTGGAATGTTTCTTTCATTGTTCCCTGTGTATCTTCATAAATCTTTCAGTTAACCCTTTTCATTTATTATGTTTATATCATTGTTCTTCTCTATGTTTGTTTACATGTGTACAGTTAGCCCCTTTCACAAATGTTTTTTTTTTAAAAACTTTTCCCTGTTACTCTTCACAGATCTTTCATTTTGACCCTTTTCATTCTTTATGTTACAATCACTGTTCTTTCTCTTTACATTTCCACAGCTGTACCACAGGTAACCATTTTCATTGTGGATTTTTATTTTTCTAAACCTATCTTCTCTTTCTATTTTCACACCAGGCTGTTCTGGAGGAAGAGTATGAAGCCTACATGACCACTCAGGTAAGTTACAGCAAAGAATCCATAATCTGTCTGCTTAAAAAATGGTCTTTTGTGGTAGATTGGTTCTTACACTTTATTGTTATAAAGGTTCGAGCAATTCTTTACCAAGACAAGGGTTCACATTCTGTCTCCAGTAACCAGTTAACAGCTGACATTATAGACTAGCTGTCAACCACAACACAGTATGAAACCATTTAACAGCTGACATTATAGACTAGCTGTCAACCACAACACAGTATGAAACCATTCAACAGCTGACATTTTAGACTAGCTGTCAACCACAACATAGTATGAAACCATTCAACAGCTGACATTATAGACTAGCTGTCAACCACAACATAGTATGAAACCATCCAACAACTGACATTGTAGCCTAGCTGTTGACCTATTATTCAAGTCAATCTTTGTACAGGTTGACCTGTTGTACAAGTCAACCTGTTTAGCAAGTTGACCTATTATAGAAGTTGACCTGTTGTACAAGTTGACCTATTCTACAAGCAGACTTGTTATAGAATTTAGCATGTTGAACAAGTTGACCTATTGTACAAGTTGACTGACTTGTTGTAAAGGTTGACTTAATATACAGGTTGACCTGTTGTACAAGTTGACCTATTGTACAGGTTGACCAGATGATTTTTAGCTCACAATTCTGACTTAGTCCTATACCCACCTAACACATTTTATACTCACCATATAAGTCGACCTCTTGTTTTTTGGAGATTGTTTTAGGGTTGAATCCTTGACCGATACACCTAAGATTAGGGTACAGTATTTGCTATATAGACATGACTATATTTTCTTTCATTTTTCAGGTGACAGAACAGAGAGTGACCCGTGAGGAGATTACCTCACTACGTGGAGCTCCTGGTTCTGGCTTGTTCCAGCCTGTAGACTTTGTTCTACCTGTTGGTCCGATCTTTAACTTTGTCTCAGGTTAGTAGCTATTTTTCTCTTTCCTCTTCTTCTGGGGGTCCCCATGGCAAAGTGGTCAGGCCTTTTGCCTCGCGCTGTGAAGGTTGTGGGTTTGTTTTGCAGCTGCATCATTCGGTTCATGATTGCAATTTTTACCTAGGTCCCCGGGGATTGTCGGCAGAGCTACGGACTTCATGCTTTGTGTAGGGGTCTTCATGGCAAAGTGGTCAGGCCTTTTACCTTGTGCTGTGAAGGTTGTGGGTTTGTTTAAAACCTGCATCGTTTGGTTCATGAATGCAATTTTCACGGAGGTCCCGGGGGATTGTCGGTGGAGCTACGGATTTCATGCCTTGTGTGACACTTTCAGCAGGTGGTTAGCTACTTTGTTGAGAGACTATGCCATATGAGGGAGGGGGAAAAACCTGGTGCCAAAGTGGATCCTCTCAATTGTAACTTTTCAGCAATAGTCTTTACTTGTCACGCTGGCTCTCTTTTGTCCTTAACTGACAGTTTGGTATCTGATACCACTACTCAAGAGATCAGGGGTACAGGTAAGTAGGTTTGCTTCAAGCACGTTGGTTTGTTTCACGCCTACATCGTTCAGTTCACCGGTGCAATTTTTATGGAGATCCCTGTGGATCGTCGCAAGAGCTACAGAGTTTGTGCTTTGTGCAATACTCTTGGCAGGCGGCTAGCCGTTCTGTGGATGGAGAACGAGCCGTTTGGGATAAAATCTGGTGCAATGAGGTTGATCCTCTAGACTTTAACCTTTTAAGCAGTAAGCAGATTTCTACTTTCCTGTATCCTCATGTGGGTTTTGGGGCTCTGTTGTGGGGGAGAAATGCATAAATCCACAGCCCCCTAACAAGCATGAAAGCTGACTAGTTAGGTATGTTTTCTTGGAAGTTGGAATGCATCTTCCTGAGAGATGAAGAACCAACAGTCTGCATACAGATAGGACAGATCTGTTAAATGAATGTGCTCGCAAAACTCAAGTTCTGGAACAAGATCATCATAGTCGGGAAGTGGATGAATAACCAGAACTTTCCACTGGCGTTTACATCAGGTGTTCACAAAGAAGAAGAAAGGATTTTAGTGTACTTACTATGTAACTTTCAACTGATGGCCTACTTGCTAACTAAATGTATATCCTCTATTTACAGCTAAAGTTGAGATGCCTACTAAATGTATATCCTCTATTTACGGCTAAAGTTGAGATGCCTACTAAATGTATATCCTCTATTTACAGCTAAAGTTGAGATGCCTAAATGTATATCCTCTTTTTACAGCTAAAGTTGAGATGCCTACTAAATGTATATCCTCTATTTACGGCTAAAGTTGAGATGCCTACTAAATGTATATCCTCTATTTACAGCTAAAGTTGAGATGCCTACTAAATGTATATCCTCTATTTACAGCTAAAGTTGAGATGCCTACTAAATGTATATCCTCTATTTACGTCTAAAGTTGAGATGCCTACTAAATGTATATCCTCTATTTACAGCTAAAGTTGAGATGCCTACTAAATGTATATCCTCTATTTACAGCTAAAGTTGAGATGCCTACTAAATGTATATCCTCTATTTACGACTAAAGTTGAGATGCCTACTAAATGTATATCCTCTATTTACAGCTAAAGTTGAGATGCTTACTAAATGTATATCCTCTGTTTTCAGCTAAAGTTGAGATGCCTTCAGGAAAACAGGCCTACCCCAACATTGAGGACAACAAGGACGGTACAGTGACTGTGAGGTATCAGCCCTCGGAGGTGGGACTTCACAAGCTTCATATGCAGTACAATAATGAAGAGATTGAAGGTAAGTGTAGGAGACATGTTCTTCTCTGGGTCCTGTTAACCTAACATAACCTTTGACCCGTTAGGGTCATGAAGGTGTATCGGAAGCACTACACCCAGAACCACCATCTTTCTCTGTTTTCTGCTTATTCAACTAGTGTATAATTAATTCTGTCCATTTCTCCCTCTTATCGTTCCCGGGTTTTTTTTGCACCCCTCATTTAGATTAACCCTCCAATGTTCCTTCACTTATAGTCATTGTCTCTTATTGAGAGTGGGCAAATCGTGTTTTATTTTGTCTCTGATGCTGAATGGGTGGTCAGTGAGAATGCTACTGTTGAAAGATGATGGGTCTTTCATTATTTTGTCACTAAGTGAGCAGTGAATGTGTCAAATGTTCTTGAGATTGGGTGAATCGGTTCAGTTTTAATAGTTGTCACTGAATGAATAGAATTGTGACTGCATAAGTTGATGTTGAAATTTGGATGATGCTTTGTTATTTTGCCATGGAGGGAATATTGAATGGACATTTGATGTACGTTGAAATTTTGTGAATTTTTTCTTGTCACGCTGGCTCTGTTTTGTCCTTAATAGACATAGTTTGGTATCTGATACCACTACCCAAGAGATCAGGGCTACAGATAATAGTGCAAAAATTCTGAAAGTTAACCAGGAAATGTCAGAAATAAAAAACACATCTTGGCCATGTTCTGTCCCTGTCTTCTCTCTTTCTCTCTCTTCCCTGACTCCCTTTGTATTTGCTACTCACATTTTTTGTATATCTAGTCTCCATAATAAATAGCAGTGGAGACTGTTTGACAGACATCAAAAGGTGGATGGCCAAAGCAGTGCATAGATTAAACAACCTTAAAAGTTCCCAATCCTTAAGAAAGAAAATATGCACTTTTAAGCTGAAATGCTATAGAAAGATTCTCAGAATACAGTGGACAAAGAAGAGAAGAAATACTGACATTTTAAAAGATCCGAACTTCAAGGAAGATTGGCTAATAAATAGCATCTTGTCTCAAAAGCTGAAATATTTTGGTTGTATCAAGCGCCACGGTGGATTGGAAAACAATTATAGCAGAAGGCACGGTACCAGGAAGAAGGGGCAAGGGCCGACCGACACAAAGATGGGCACAGGATGTAAGTGACTCCTTGAGTATGAAAGTACATAAGGTGGGAGAGCTGGTGAGAGACCGACTTTCTTTTAGGCAGACGGTGATGAGCGACGCTCGCTCTGCAAAGGACCTGCTACATGATGATGATGATGACTGGTATTATTGGAATGAAAGCATATGTCCTTGAATACCTCTCCTAGTGGGTCCAGGACCTCATTCTTGGGGAAACAAGTATAGACCTATTGTCTCTCCAACAAGCATGTAGTAGGAGTCGACTAATTGGGGGCATCCTTTGAAGTCATTGTGTATCTGCCTGGGAGGCAAGGAACCAAATTTTGCATGCAAATAAGCCACATTTGTAAAACAGATGTGTACGCAACACTCGGGTTCTGGAACATGACTAAAGTCCGAAAATGGACAAATAGTCAGTACTTTGTGCCAAAGTTTACACCCGGTGAACACAAAGAAGAAGAAGAACATTTGACCATTACTTTTCTTGCTTTCATGATAATCACTAAATTGTGGGCCTGTTTGCAGGAAGTCCATTCTTATTCTACGTGGAGGCAATTGACTCAGGCTATGTGACAGCCTATGGACCAGGTCTCAGCCATGGTGTTGTGTATGAACAAGCCTCCTTCACCATCAACACCAAGAATGCTGGTGCAGGTAATAATTTCTTCTTCTTCTTCTTCTTTTTTTTTTTTTTTTTAATCAACCCTGATTCTTCTGTTACTTGTCTCCATAAAATTGGTGTCAGGGATTTACTTGGATAGTAAAAGAATGCACTGTAATGCTGACCACAATGCATCTTTATGTTTCCCCCAGTCAGTTAACCTTTTTGCCCTGTAATGCGCACACACACATGCAAGCACACACACACACACAAAATCATGACCCCCGTGGGTATTCTCAAAAAAATCTTTTAAAAAAAATCAATTTGTTTACTGAGGCCTCTAATGAAAAAAAATGTTTTCATGTATTTATGCATACATACCTTTGCGTATCTGATACTACTTACTTTTACTACTGTGAATACTACTGTTGTTACTACATTTGCTGCTAATGCTGCTGAAAGTGCTACTGCAACTATTTCTCCAACTAGTACTGTTGCTACTATATTTGCTGCTGCTGATACCGCTACTACTACTACTACAATCTTACTGTTTCCATCACCCTTGCTACAGTTAATACTGCTACTACTATACAATATTCATCTCTTTAATCAGGTGGACTGTCACTCGCCATTGAAGGCCCATCCAAGACAGAAATACAATGCAAGGACAACGAAGATGGAACCTGCACAGTGTCTTACGTACCCACTGCACCAGGAGAGTACCAGATAACAGTGAAGTTTGCAGAGAAGAACATTGCTGGTTCCCCTTTCACAGCCAAGATAATCCGTATGTGTACTCACTTGTTGTAAACCTGTTTATTTATAAGAGCTAAGTCATTACACTCAGTCGGCGTTATACTGACCACATCACCCTGCAAGTGCCAACTGGTATATAAAATATAGGTCTAGCCTGAAGACGTGGAAAGGGTCCTTTACTTACTTACTAAATCATTACACTAGAACACACATGGTGAAACTAAATCTCTCTCTCTCTCTATCTCTCTCTCTCTCTCTCTCTCTCTCTCTCTCTCTCTCTCTCTCTCTCTCTCTCTATCTCTCTCTCTCTCTCTCTATCTCTCTCTCTCTCTATATATATATATATATATCTCTCTCTCTCTCTCTCTCTCTCTCTCTCTCTCTATATATATATATATATATATATATATATATATATATATATATATATATATATATATATATACATACATACACACACACACACACACATACATACATACATATATATATGTAGTTTCACCATTTGTGTTCTAGTGTAATGACTTAGTATGCCAGTTGGTAAGCATGAACAGTGAGAAAGCATTATTATTTCTTTCAGTATAAATGACAGGCCAAAGCTGCCTTTTCTAAAAACGAAGAACATTTTGTGCAATAAATTCATGTCATTGGAGATTAGGAAAAGAATTCTCGCATGTTGTATAGAGCCAGTTTTAACATATGGCTGTGAATCCTGGACAATTAGTAAACAAGCCAGACAATATCTTGAGACCTCGGAGATGTGGTTTTACAGAAGCATCCTTAGAATTCCTTGGACAGCTAAGAAGAGCAACCCAGATGTTTTGAAGGAGGGGAGTGCTCGAAGACAACTTATCACAAACATCAGAAAGGACAGTCATCATTTTTTGGTCATGTTATGAGAAGAGGGAAACTGGAACATGTTCTGACCACTGGAAGGATCTGTGGACGAAGAGACGTCAAGAGAAGATTCTTGACAGCATTTTGTCATTCCATGGAACAGTGCCAACACATGAACTGATACACGCAGTTGCTGATCCCAGATTGTGGAGAGACATGATCACCCATGCCAATCGGCAAGACACTTGATGATGGTAACAATGATAGGCCTAAAAAAGAATATGGAAATGTCCCAAAATGAAGCAGTATTCTATAGTTTATGGGTTTTTCCTAAGATCTAGGTTTTTATTTAACACGTTGGGTTCAGATTTTGGAATCTTTTTTTTTTTTTTTTTAAATATATATCCTTATTTAAAAAAGTGAGTAAAGGTTTCATTTCTTAATCATAAAATTAGTAATTTTTATCATTCTTTGGTATTTTTATTTGTTTTTTGCTTATGTATTGCTTGATGTTAATAGTGAAATGTACTCCAACAGCTGGTGAACCCCGGAGAAAGAACCAGATCTTGGTGGGAAGCAGTTCTGAAGTCTCTCTCAAGGTCACAGAACACGATATTGAGAGCCTGACGGCTACCATCATTTCACCATCTGGCAGGGAGGAACCTTGCTTCTTAAAGCGATTGCCCAATGGTCATCTGGGTAAGTTGTAGCAATAAACATCATTAACATTGAAGTTGGTGGGCTCATTTGCCAGCATGGCTGACCAAGGTTCGGTCTCTAGTAGCAATCTTTTTTCTTCTTCTTCACGTTCACCTGCTGTTAACTTCAGCAGAAGGTTCCGCGTGTACTCGTCATGTGTACTCAAAGAGCTCTTTCAGCAACAGTCTCGTCTATTCTGTCTTAGGGAACACTCGCAAAATCCAGTCTCAGCGGTTATATCTCAGGGAACTCTTAACAACATCCATTCTTGTCAGTTTTGTCTCCACAATCATCATTGCCGTCACATTGGAACTCTCTGGAGATGCACTTACCGTTGTCGCACTTCAGCGGATACCGCCTGGTGCAGTCAGTGGCTGGCAGTAGAAATTCATTAACAGATATTGATCAACACTCTCAGAAGTAGAGGGAAGAAATATACTGTATATTGACAGACACACTAGAGAACACAGATGTTTAATAATATAATAAGCCTATCACCACTTTAAAAAAAAAAATTTGTTTAAACTTGCAGTCAGTTGCAGCGATTCAGAGATTCAAAACTGGATTTTGCATGCATATCTGTTTACAGATCAGGCTTATTTGTATGCAGACTGTTGGTTCCTCAACATTCAGACAGATGCACAGCGACTTTGAAGTAAACACCCCTTAGCAAAGGAGCATTAGGTCTATCCCCCCCCCCCCCCCACACACACACACACACACACACCTAAAATGTGGTCCGTTAACACACACCAGGAATTAGTAGTTACGTTTCAGTAATTTTCCCACAGCATGTTATTTAATGCGGAAGAGATCAAATTTTTGTTGGTTTTCTCCAATTATAGGTTCTGTGACCCAGGGGAGGAGAGGGGGGGGGGGGGGGGCACTGCACCCATAACAAGCTTGTCATAAAAGGCAACAGTATAGGTTTTTTTGTTGTTGCTGAAACAAGATGTGTGAAGCTGAAGGGCACAGATATCCTCTGGGGCACATTTTCTGTGCTGTAAAGACAGGAATGTCTACTGCCATTTAAAGGGCACCAGCGCAAGAAGTGTGGTATTTGCTGGCTTAGTCTGCAAAGAGCTAGTGCTTGAGTTGTTTTAAGTTCTGTGCTTCGGTGGAAGCTGAAAGACAGGAAGATATTTCTGATTATGAAAATAATACAATTGGGGAAATGAAAGCTTAATTTGAATGCCAGATGTTGATGTTTGTGATGTTAATAGTAAATGAGCTCTTTGAGTCCTATATAAAGCATGACCTCTTATCATATGGCCACATGAATCCCAACCGTTGCATTGTGTGTTTAATTATATCTGGTTACTGCACACTAACACTTCTGGCCACTTCCAGTGCAAAGTTAGCCTCTCTGAAACTGATGCACTTGTATCTTTATGATGGTTATCTCCTGTCCATCCTTGGGCATATCCTGCCAAACCTTCTACTACTGAATGAGTTAGGGAATGACAGCTTAACATCGTCTCTTTTTGTTTTGTTTTTTGTTTTATTTGGTTGCTGTCAGTGTTTGCGTTGTGCTGCTGGGCATGGCTGTTTACATATGACAGTATCTAAGCCAGGGGGCGCTCATTTTCTTAGTTTGCTGTGATATTGTGAAGTGATTAGTGATTAGTAATTATAAAGAATTATCACCACAGCACTCCAGACAGATCTATAGGTGCTCCGATCTCCTCAAAAGCTCCATAAGTCTAAAACGACTGATGACGCCTGTTCTGTGTTGGTTAATGAAACATCTTGTCCTTTTAGTGAAATGTTCATTTCTTGCAGCTCTAGGCTGCACCCTTATGTCCATCAGTCTAGACAGGGATATGGAGTCATGTCTTTTGGCATGCTCTTCGGTACAGTAAGTGCAGCGCATGGCATTGATAACATTACTTCTGTCCAGTACTGGGCCAGCCATAGCAACTGCAGTGTCAGCAAGATAGTCTGCACATATTGTGAAGTCATAGGCTTCAGCAAATCCTTCATAAGGTTTGTGTTTATACTTTACAGGCATAACCTTCACTCCACGAGAGAAAGGGGAACATCTTGTGAACGTCTACAGGAATGGACAGCACATTGCTAACTCCCCGTTCAAGATTACTGTCGGTGACAGTGAGATTGGCAATGCCAGCAAAGTCAAGGTCTACGGCAAAGGGCTGAAGGAGGGAATGGCAAATGAAGTTAATGAGTTCATTGTGGACACTCGTGAAGCAGGTGTGTATGACATAAAAGCCAACCTGCTTTTCCAACTTCTTCATCTGTTCTCTTTGCTTTGGTGTCAGTTTACCTCCAAATTCCATCCAGGACCTCAAGTTGCTTTGTGACAATTTTAGTGCCCCAGTACAGCTGTACCATATGGTTATAGTTGGCATCTGTGGTTTAGGCGCTGTGAACAAGCTTTGTAATGCTGGGGTGCCGGTTCGATCCCATCTGCAGCTGGTATGTCTTCTTACATCGGTTTTGACAGTGGTAGCGAGAGCTGATCATTAGGAAAGCAGTGGCAAACTACTAAATGTAAACTTTGTCTTTTTAAAAAAACCACAACAGTGAAAAAATGCCAGGGTTGGTTCTTCAGCGTCCTGTAAAGAATACACAACTAACTATGTGACTGTACGGTTGAACAGGGTTTCCAGGATTTGTAGCTTTTTTTCTTCTTCTTATCCTTGTGATGTTAATTTTGAAGTCTAACAATCTGCAAGTGAAAAACTTTATTAAAAAAAAAAATCAATTCACCTGTAAATAAGTGCATCTAAGTTTTGTGATGCAGTACAGGAAAGAAAGATTTCTCTTTAGAAATAAGAAAGATCTTAATGCTACAGGACAGTATGCAGTTGAGCAAAGTGTGGCTGGGACATTTTCCCTCTCGGTGCTGGTAGCTGAAGGTTTCACACCCTGAGATAAAAAAAATATCCAGTCTGAATGGCAAATCCTCAAACTCCATCATACCCCCCCCCCCTACTCCATTCAACCCCCCCCCCCCCCCCCCCCCAAAGTTAAGACTGTGTCAGCTGTAACAGGCACACCAGACTGTGAAGGTAAAGCGTCATTTGATTAATTTAGCAGAGGCTGTGTTATAAATTCATGCCTAAATTGTCATTGATCTTCAAGAACATCACCAATTTTGAAAATTTTGAAATACCACTTTAAAATGGTCTCATGTTCTTTGAATAACAATTCTACTGTCTGGACAGCTCTGGGATTTCTATTAGAAATACATCAGCTAAATGATGTGTATTCTTGTTCGTATTTGTGGTATTGTAGATTTATGTATGTGCTGATGAAGACCCTCATGCCCAACGTCAACTGTTCATTTGTGTTTGTGATAATGTGAAACCGACTGGTTCTACTTGTTGTTAGTTTGAGATCTTTTCAAGATATTTTGAATAACAATTGTGCTTCAGCTTTTTTGTGTGTGACTATCCTTCTGGTCACCTGCTGTTGCTTGTTTTTATGTGAGTGTCAGTCGACTTTTAATCTTACGCTTAGGTTAAGATACACATTGGGCACACTTTGAGACAAAATGAGCAAAGAATTACAAAACAGGTACTGAAATGGGAAACAAATGGTTTGAGAAAAAGAGGTCATCCAAGGAAAACAATAAGAAAAGCAAAAAATGCTGGACTGAACTCCATGTCAGAAATCGAGAAAGTTGCATGTAATAGAGCGGCATGGGGGGAATTGAATGCAAGCTCTATATGACGTCTAACGGCACACAAAGGATGATGACAATGACAGTGACGCTTAAGGGCAGAAGTTGTTTATGATGATGTCTATGTTGTTCTCCTTATCCTTTCGTTAAGCTTCTTAGTCGGTTAAATGGATTAATTTCTTTCATAATTCAATCTGGCTCTGATAAAAAGTCTATAGATGATATATGTTAAACTGTGTATGCAGTTGTGGCAGACTCCTTGTATGTGTGTATTAATTACAGTTTTCTTTGGTACCTCAGGCTATGGAGGCATGTCTTTGTCAATCGAAGGCCCCAGTAAGGCTGACATTGAGTGCCATGACAATGAAGACGGCACTTGTCACGTTGCCTACAGACCTACAGAGCCTGGAAGCTACATAATCAGTATCAAATTTGCTGATCAACATGTGCCAGGTAAGTGAGATCTTCTTAGTGAAAATAGAACACTGTCTGGCGTATGTCTTCATGTCTCAGTGTGCAGAGTGTCAGCTGCAGTGCATTTCAAGTGTCTTTTGACTCATTTTCTCTAACAATGATTCCTCATGTGGATTCCTCTCTGTGGGTTCCTAGACCCCCAGTGTGGGGGAAAACAAGAATAGACCCACAACCTACCTAAAAGCATGTTGTAGGAGTTGACTAATTGGAAGCTTCCTTTGAAGTCGGAGTGCACCCACTGTTACCACCCTCGAAAATATGTCTCTCCTGTGACGTCATCCTGGGGGGAAATATTGGGAAAGCGCCAAACTTTGCCCTGGAGTGTACAGCTGGTGAACGCCAAGAAGAAGAAACTTTGGGTTGGGGGGGGGGGGGGGGGGGGGTGGTTAGAATAGAAATCTGCCCCTTAGTAAGCTTGTCTTAATAGGTGACTAAATTAAAGGCTTGCTGAAATCAGATGTACTGGCCTAAATTGGGCAGATATCAGAGCCTAGCTGTAAACTACAAGAGAATGTACCAACAACCATTTTAATACATCTGCAGAAGAAGAAGATATCTATTAGTATGGAATTCATAAAACCAATCCTGAAACTAAAACCAATCCTGATTTATAACAGGAAGTCCATTCACTGTCAAGATTGGAGGCGAACCTTCAGCCAAGATCACAGAACGCATAACCCGCCACCGAGAAGCAGCCGACATCACACACATCGGCAGCCAGTGTGAACTTAGTCTGAAGATTCCAGGTAAGAGAATAAATAAGTGTTCCTGAGCCTTATTCTCATTGTCTACATCTGTTCTTGTTTCCTATCCTTAACCTTATTCACATTGCCTACCTCTGTTCTTATTTCCTAGCCTTCTTGTCATTGCCTACCTCTGTTCTTATTCCCTAGCCTTATTGTCATTGCCTACCTCTGTTCTTATTCCCTAGTCTTATTCACATTGCCTACCTCTGTTCTTATTCCCTAGCCTTATTCTCATTGCCTACCTCTATTCTTATTCCCGAGCCTTATTCTCATTGGCCACCTCTGTTCTTATTCCCTTGCCTTATTCTCATTCCCTACCTCTTTACTTATTCCCTAGCCTTATTCTCATTACCTACCTCTGTTCTTATTCTCTAGCCTTATTCTCATTGCCTACCTCTGTTCTTATTCCCTAGCCTTATTCTCATTGCCTACCTCTGTTCTTATTTCCTAGCCTTCTTGTCATTGACTACCTCTGTTCTTATTCCCTAGCCTTATTGTCATTGCCTACCTCTGTTCTTATTCCCTAGTCTTATTTTCATTGCCCACTTCTGTTCTTATTCCCTAGCCTTATTCTAATTGCCCACATGTGTTCTTATTCCCTAGCCTTATTCTCATTGCCCACCTCTGTTCTTATTCCCTAGCCTTATTCTCATTGTCTACATCTGTTCTTATTCCCGAGCCTTATTCTCATTGCCTACCTGTGTTCTTATTCCCTAGCCTTATTGTCATTGCCTACCTCTGTTCTTATTCCCTAGCCTTATTGTCATTGCCTACATCTGTTCTGATTCCCTAGCCTTATTCTCATTGCCTACCTGTGTTCTTATTCCCTAGCCTTATTGTCATTGCCTACCTCTGTTCTTATTCCCTAGCCTTATTCTCATTGTCTACATCTGTTCTTATTCCCGAGCCTTATTCTCATTGCCTACCTGTGTTCTTATTCCCTAGCCTTATTGTCATTGCCTACCTCTGTTCTTATTCCCTAGCCTTATTGTCATTGCCTACATCTGTTCTGATTCCCTAGCCTTATTCTCATTGCCTACCTCTGTTCTTATTCCCTAGCCTTATTGTCATTGCCTACCTCTGTTCTTATTCCCTAGCCTTATTCTGATTACCTTCGCCTATTCTTATTACCTCACTCTATTCTCATTCCCTTCTCTTTTATCACATTCCCTACCCCTTATTCTCATTACTTCTCTCTGTTCTCATTCCCTAGCCCTGTTCCCATTACCTCACTTTATTCTTATTCCCAACTCTTTATTTGCATTCCCTACCCCTTATTCTTATTAGCTAGCCCTATCTCACCCTAGCCCTGTTCTCATCCCCTAGCCCTATTCTCATCCCCTAGCCCTATTCTCATTTCCTAGCCCTGTTCTCATTCCACAGCACTAGTCTCAGATTCTGGCCCTATTCTTATTCCCTAGCCCTATTCTTATGGCCCTAGTGTCACCCCTTAGCCCTGTTTGTTATTAATGTTTCTCAGAACTTACTCACTTCCTGGCATTGTTTGAGTAACCTGTCTCTACCTTCACTGATTCCCAGGAGTGGCACCATTTGACTTGACAGCCTCAGTGAAGAGTCCCTCTGGTGTCACTGAACTGTGTGAGGTTGTCAGCTTAGATGAGTCTCACTACAGCATCAAGTTTGTGCCCAAGGAGATGGGAGTGCATACCGTCAGTGTTAAACACAAGGACATGCATATTCCTGGTAAGTTGCGATGCTTGTGCTAATGGTGATGATGATTATATTGTTAGACACAATGAAAATAAAAACGGTAGTAGTGGTGGTAAGGGTGGTAGTGGTTAGGGATAGTAGTGGTAATTATGATAGTGGTGTTAAGGGTGTTAATGTTGATATTTGTAATTGTAATGATGATGATGGTAATTGTGGTAGTGATAATGGTGGTAATTGTCGTAATGATGCTAATGGTGATAATGGTGTTAGTGATGTTTGTTGTTGTTAATTATGGTAATTATGATAATGGTTGTATTAATAATAACAGTACTGATAATGGTGTTAATGATGATAGTCATAATTTTGGTAATGATGATAGTGGTTGTAAATTATGGTAATGGTAATAGTGGTGATAATGGTGTTAATGATGTGATAATGGTTGAAATTTTGGTAATGATACTAGTGGTAGTAATTCTGGTAATTGTAATGGGAATGAAAATTATAGTTAAGTCAGTTGCATAGCCTTTAAAGAGCATGACAGAACCAGCCCCAGCAATTTTTGGCTGCTGTTTTTTTAAGGGAATTTTATAACCAATAGTTTGCCATTGCTTTCTGGACAGTCAGCTCTTGATACCACTGCCGAAACCAACGCAAGGCAATCTGTTAACAAATCACCTGCAGCTGGGATCAAACCCCGCTTTACGAAGCACGCCCCAAACTGTAATGATGGGGACTAGATTTATTTAACTCTCTGAGTCCCAAGGAACGCATCATACGTTCATAGGTTCCTACTAGAAGACCAATGAACGCATGATGCGCTGATTTTATGTCTCTTTTGGGCCTGTGATGCTAAACCCCCTGGGACTCAAAGAGTTCAGACATTATCACTGAGCAGGGTAATAAGTTTCTTTATATATAGAATAAAGAAGAATATTCTAGAATAATTAAAGAAATAGTGAACAAATGCAGAGGCTAAAGAAACCTGGCTAAATCAGATGTGCACAGAGATTGGGAAAAGTCATGGGAAAGATTCGCATTTCATTCACCAACAAATTAGCATATCAACAGGGAAGAAGAAATTAACATCGGTGGATGTTTAAAATTTAAAAAAAAAAAAGGTGAAATATTAATGGGGCAAAGTGACTTAGTTAAAAGATGGACAGAGTACTTGGGGGAACTGTATAATGATAATAAACCTGAAGATATTTGCAGGACAACATTAAAGGTCGACCAATACTGGCTTCAGAAGTTGAGGATGTATTGCATCACATGAAGAAAGCAAAGAGGCTAATGCTTAAAGAGAACATCACAAAGATCAGAATAAGACAGTCATAATTTTTCGGTAATGTTATGAGAAGAGAAAAAATGAGACATGCTGTGACCACTGGAAAGATCTGTGGAAAGAGAGACAGAGGAAAACAGTGTGGGAAGATTTTTGAGACTTTTATTATGGTATGGAGGGGTGTCAACACACAAACTGATAAACGCAGTTTCAGATCGCAGATTGTGGAGAGGAATGATGGCCCACACCAGTCGGCAGGCACTTGATGATGATGATCAAATGGGGGGGAAATTAATTGACATCTTGCCGAAACAGGAAGAGTTAATATACAAAAAAGTTGCTTTAGGAACACTTAGACAAGTTAATTGATATTACATGTTTATGTTACAGGAAGCCCCTTTGAGTTCACTGTGGGCCCCATCGCTGGAGGTGGTGCCCATAAGGTTCATGCTGCTGGACCTGGCCTAGAGAGGGGAGAAGTGGACATTGCAAGTGAGTTCATCTGTACTTCTACAGGCTGTCAAGTTTAACCTGTCTTATTCTTTTCATTCTCCCTGTCCATGATTTTCATAGGAGATGGCCACAGGTCACTATGAAGGCTGTGGTGTGACCAGCAATAGATTTAGGCATAAGTTTATTAAACTGCAGCTTAGGGCCTCGTGATCTGCAGGGACCCCAACAATTCCTTTTCTTGTGTGTTCACAAATGCACTTTTCTTTTAATAAATTCCTTAGGAGGATCATATAATATAATTTCTATGATTTTGCAAACAAATTCTCTATTATTTCTTCTACCAAAAATTAAACAACAGTATATTACCATCGTCCGTTTATTTTAAAAGCGTAAATATTTTAAAGTTTTCTGATATTAGCTGGTTTAGTTGAAAGCAGTAGGGGCCTCAGGGCTTTACGTAGTGTAGGGCCTCATCAAGTCTAAATACTACCCTGGAGGTGACGCATGTCTTCTACTGATCCATATGATTTCCACCAGGATGCTCAGTGACTACATGGAAGATCTCTGTACTGCTTGTATAAAATGATGTTTTTATGATTAAATATCTTCATAAGTAAATTGTACTTTCCTTCCTCCACGTGCTAGAAAATTGTTGGAGTATAACTTTATGCAGAAATGTTATGATGGTTTAAAAAAAAAAAATAATAGTCTTTGCTATGTTATCACAAATGATGTCACACTGCACATTAGGTATTCTATGCGTATTCACTTCTCCGATGCGGCAGCCACTCCACGATACCTCTACTGAACTTATTCAGTTCCAGAAGTTGTCACTATAGTCCATATCATACGGCATTGACACTCATTATCTTTGCACTAACATCTTTTGTGTTCTTCAGTCATTTTTGTCACAGATGATACTCCATGTGATGATGCCAAACTGCCTAGCATCTTCTTGATCTTCCTCAGCCTCTCCTTCCCTTCAGCTTTGCCTTTGTCATGATGTCCTAGGGACTTGCCTTTTCACAATCTGACCCAAGAATGTAGACTGTCTACTTCTGATGCAGGCATTCATTTCTCCTTGTGAGTTAATTTCTATCAAGACAAAGTCATTGAACTTTTTGCCTGTCTTCGTGTTCTGATAATTCTTCTGTAAAACCATATCTTTGCTGCTTTCACATAATTTTTCACTAATTTACGACCATCTGATTACCTTTCAGTTCAAATATATCTTTTAACTGTAGAATTTACTTGCATATGCTACCCTCAACTTGTTTCAGTTACCTTTTCTGTATGTTATATTTCAAAATATGGAGTAAAATGTCCTTTAATTGTACCCCTTCTTCTTCTTCCTCTTCTTCTCTTCCACCGTGTACCTCATCGAAGCGTCAGGGGCCAAGTGAGTTAAAGTTAGTTGCCTATCCTTTACAGGATGTAGCAGAACTAACTACCCTAATCCGGTCATCTTATTGTGAGATGAAATTTTTCATTTTTTGAAGCCCTACTCTGGCTCTTGCCAGGGGCCACAACATAGCCCGACCATAAATATGGTCTGATGGCTGAACGTGGTTTCTGGGACCTCTTCACGGGTGTA